TGTGGATGGGAACTATAACCTCTATTACGTTGTCCATTTTGAGTAGAAACACCCTGTATATATAATAACATGATTCATCAACAAAATTGTGACAGTGGATTCCTATAATGACATGGATAACCGCTAAAAAAAGTTTTTGAAATGCTATCACAAAGGGTAAATTCATATCATTAATTCCGGTGCATCCGCCATTTTTGAAAGTATTTAACAACTGAACTAATTGGAACTGGAGAGGGACAGGGGTGGGATATTTAGTAAAGCTTGACTTTCTTAGAACATTATTATAAATCTATATTTCGCTATACAACCGTATTAGGTTTAGAATTTCTTGATGCATGCATATTGTCATCGAAATATGTCTTTCTGTAGTTGCATATGATTTATGGGCTCATGTTTTGCACTGATTTTGCATGACAAAAATTTGTTTTAACGTTTCAATAACTCCTAATCCCCGGCTGGGTCAAAACTTTTTTTAAATTTAAGTCTACTAATTTGACTATATCATTCAGTAGAATTTGACTAATTTAAGATTAGTCACCATCTTTGACTATTTCTGAGAGTTAAAAGTAACTAATTTCTTTAATCGTTTGCAGCCAAAAACAAAGTATTATTTGAATTAAATGCATATACATAAGCTCCATGGTTAAATGACCCATAAAAACAAATAAAGATGCAAAAAGTTTAGCTCAAAACAGCAACACAAATAATATATTCAACTTTAAAATATTATGAACAGTATTTATTGACAAATAAAATTGATTTTTATAAGAGCGGCTGATAGCCGAATGGGTTAAGACAACAGCTTGACAAGCTTGACAAGTGACAGACCTGAGTTCAATCCCCGATGGGTCAAAACTTTTTTTAAATTTAAATCTACTAATTTGACTATTTTATTTAGTAGAATTTGACTAATTATTAGTGACTGCTTTTTCGCTATGACAGTCAAATATGACTTATAATTAGTTATTTTTGACTAATTCATTTTAAGAGAGTTATGTTAAAAAGTAATTTAAATCAATTTTAAACAAAATAAAGCAAAAATAGGCAAAACAAAATATTTTTTAATTTTTATTTTCTTTATTTTTATATTTTTTTAAAGCGCGTTTAAAAGATAGAAGTATTGTAATACATATTATTATGTACAATTTTATTAACCAATTGGTTAATTGGACTTAAGAAGTTATTTTACCATAAGTGAAATCCCCACTCATAAAAAAATAACGTTACTTTAAGGTTAATTTAAGCAGTTTTGCTACTTGTGAACGCTCAAATGCAGTATATCCAGTTTAAGTAATAAAGGACAAAATATCATTTATTATTATGGATCAAACTTTTTTAAATTTATTAAATTGCTTTTTGAGACGTATTATCTACTATTAGGTGCAAAATTAAAGGTGGCGTGGGTATAGTTATTCAAAGTTTGGTTGAAATCAAACTGTAGCAAGCAAAATGTCGTTACTTCAAATTTTAATTAAATTAATTAGTTTTTAGTTAAAAGATTCCGAGCCCTTTCTAATTTTCTAAAATCGATCACTTACTCCCGCTTATTAAAATACACTTTGTTAAAACTGGCGTTTCTAATTTAATTTTTGGTAATTTTAAATCGACTACGGACAAAATAATAACCACCTTAAATAGGTAAATAAAAATTAATTGCTTTTTGAAGTGATTTCTAAAGAATTTCAATTTGGTGGTGACTAATTTTAAATTAAATAAAATAAATTAAACATGTAAGATTTTATAACACGAAGTTTCAAGAAAAAAATATATCTTCGAAAATATGTTTTTCATACATTTTCTCACAATGGCATGTTATGCGAAAACCCTGGAAGTTATTTTCAGTATATTCAGCATGAAATCAAATAACTTAATTATAGTTATAAAAAGTTAATGCATGTTGTGTCTAATGCGCCTAAAAACACATTAATTTTAGTTTTAGTAAAGAAAAACAACGCCAAGGTAAAATTGTTACAAAAATGGCGGATGCACCGGGATTATATCCTGGAGCATTCGCCATTTTTACAACTTTTTTATATATTTTTTCTATTGTGTAATATTTCAATCACACTTGGGTAAAACAAGTGAAAATGATTATTTTTTATTTTTGGTTGTTTCACTGTTAGTAGAATGGGGTTTTTGGGAAGCCACCAGGTCTAGTAATAACATAACATAAGTGGTTCTGTACTAATGCAAGAATTTTAAGAAATCATACATTTTGAATATTAGAGCTTCAGGGAGGTTAGGATTTCGTATGTTTTTTATAAAACATTCCTTTGTATATTTGAAATAAGTTATTGTACCTTTTGACACCTTAATATTTTTTAAAAATACAATTGTACATACATAAAATATTTATAAAAAAATCTTCTTACTGAGATATTACACGGTGGATAGGTTTTTAAATAGCAAATTAATGAACCTAAACTTTTGAATTATAAAACAGCAACACTCTCATCTGCATATAAATTTTAACTGACCTTCAGGATGCATCTATAATGTCGTAAACAGAGGTTTTTGCTTATTTAAAATGATTAAAGCGCCATCCGTTGCATAAAATTTAAAGCAAAAACAGATTCACGGAGGATAGAATCAATTTTTGCAACACCTACATAAACGGTTATAAAAATTATTTCTTTTAATTTTTAATTTGATTCGATTGCTTTGGATGTGTTTAATTTACTTAGTGAACTGATATTTTTAGTATGCTTTTACTACCTCAGATATTCGAAAACATATAGGTTAACCTAGAAAGAGTGACAGTCACGGAGGATAGGTTTTAGACTTTTAAAACATTGTAAAAAATAATTAATTGCGGTTAAAAATCTGGAACCTGAGCTGTAATATCTGCTTAATTAAACTCATTTAGTTTTATTAAATATCACGGGGTACCCCATCGGGGGACATTTCGTGAGATTCGCCCACTTTTATCTGTCGCGTTACCGAAATGACGATATAATAACAAAAAAATTAAATTATGAACACATTTTAAAACAAAAGTTTTTTATAAATTTACATAATATTATTATGTTGTGCAAAATTTGTATATAAAGCCCAATCTATATGGGTAATTCTTTTACAAACCGAACACTTTTTGACCGACACATCTCATATTTGGCTGAAACTTTTTTTACGGATTCTATGTCGAAAAATAAGAGATACGTGTCCGAGGATTTTTTTTTCTCTCGCATATTTTCGATAATACAAGCTATCGAAAATTTGAGAATAACGAGTTTTTTGGCTTGGAGACTCATTTTCAAAAATTTATAACTCTGGTTATATTTGAGCTACAAACTTCTTTTTTTTTTCATTTTAAAGCTAAAGGACTGAATTTTGATAAAAAAATATTTTTAATAAATATTATTAACAAATTCATATTGTTATTAACAATTTCATTGTTTAAATCAATTTTTAACAATGGCCCCCACCTCGTATTAAGTTTTTAGTATTTTTATCGTATTCTCCGTCAAATTTTACATAAAAAACATGTTTTCAAAATATGGTACCTTTATTATTACTATTGTTAAAACATTAATTTGTATTGCGCGACACATAAAAAACGGTTTTTTGTTAATAAAAAGAAAACTATAGCTCGGATCAAAAAAAGTCAAATATATAAGTTGTAGATAATAAAAAGATCTACAATTTTTATTTTATTTATTTTTTGACATAACCTTACTTTTCAAATAAATTGAAATTTTTCAATTTATTTGAAAAGTGAGGTTATGTCAAAAAATAGTTAAAATAAAAATTGTATATCTTTTTATTATCTACAACTTTTATATATGACTTTTTTTGATCCGAGCTATAGTTTTCTTTTTATTAACAAAAAACCGTTTTTTTTATGTGTCGCGCAATACAAATTAATGTTTTAACAATAGTAATAATAAAGGTACCATATTTTGAAAACATGTTTTTTATGTAAAATTTGATGGAGAATACGATAAAAATACTAAAAACTTAATACGAGGTGGGGGCCATTGTTAAAAATTGATTTAAACAATGAAATTGTTAATAACAATATGAATTTGTTAATAATATTTATTAAAAATATTTTTTTATAAAAATTCAGTCCTTTAGCTTTAAAATGAAAAAAAAAAGAAGTTTGTAGCTCAAATAGAACCAGAGTTATAAATTTTTGAAAATGAGTCTCCAAGCCAAAAAACTCGTTATTCTCAAATTTTCGATAGCTTGTATTATCGAAAATATGCGAGAGAAAAAAAATTCCTCGGACACGTATCTCTTATTTTTCGACATAGAATCCGTAAAAAAAGTTTCAGCCAAATCTGAGATGTGTCGGTCAAAAGGTGTTCGGTTTATAAAAGAATTACTCATATATAGATTAGATGGCTGAAGTAAATTTATAGCTGTTTGAAGCCGATGAAATGGAAAACCAAACTACCTGTTAATTAAAAAATGACGATTTTGCTTCAAACTTGTGAAAGCCCGACAAAATGATAAAAAGAAAATGCAAATTTCGCTTTTGTTTTGGATTTACATAAAATTGAATACATATTATTATATCAAACAATGGCATAATAATTTCTTCAATTAAATAATCTGTTATGTGCATTGTTTTGTCGTATGACGAGTAAATTATATAAAATAAAAAAAACAACAAAATTAATTTTTGCAAAATATTTTGTATATTGAATTTAATTTTTTTTATTTTACTATAAATACTTTTAGAAAAAAAAGTTTAGTTAAATACATTATATACCTACATGTTTATCATCACAAATATATTAAAACAATCCATATTTTTGACAAAAAAATGCCATTCAAAATATGACGTAGCAAGGTTTATATAATATTCTACAAGGTGGACCAAAATAAAGTCATTAAAAACAGGTTTAGTTATATTAATGTTTAAGATGTTTTCCAAGATTAAGTTAATAAAGTTTTTATCGTAACATTTCTGATTTTTTTTTATTAAATTTATGAAAAAAAAAATTAGTAACATTCAGTGGGTAACATTTAAAATAAATAATATATTTGCCTACCTTTATATCATGCGGTGATGATCAGGTGGCATGTTCAGTGGCTGACGATGATTGTGAAGCTGTTTGACGCACCACGGCTTAATATTTATGAAAGCAGCTGGCTGCGGCGCGATTACCACAACACTGTGCAGCTTCTTTGGCGACTCGACGCTCCTGAGGACTTCTTGGCCAAGCACCTGCGCTCTTTTCATCCCACTGAACCCCTCTTGATTTCACTGAATTTTTTAACAAATATAATCTTCATTAGATTAGAATTAGAATAGTATATTATGTATCAAGTTTGATAAACGCGAGCGAGTAATTAATTAAATGAGTGCTTAGAAAAGTTTATAATTAAGTTGAAAACTATACTTTTTCTACGATAAATACTTAATATTATTTAAAAAATGATTTAATTAAATATTTGTAAAAAGCGACAACTATACGAAATTAAAGTAACCATCCCAATAAACATTTTTACGTAATTTTTACCATTAACATTACCCGTAATTATTTTAATTAAACTTAACAATTATTGATACTTTAAAATATTAAAATAACTTCAAAAGTTCTCATTAAGTATTATTTTACAAGAAAGGCACTATATTTTAACGATTGTATGACATTTGACAACTGTCAACTGACTTCAGTCCGTGACTAAAACCTGTTGCTAACTTCAGCCCGTGACTAAAGCGCCATATAGCCACACGATGTGTATTTAAAAGGTCACATATTGTCCTGGAAACATGTACGATGTGTTTTAAAGGTGGAAGTAAAAAAAGTATAAAAAAGTTAAAACATTAAGTAGTCATTTCAAAGCGGGATTGGCAAACACTTATAGCCACATTTTTTAAACTAATTATAAACTAAAAAAACTAACCGTAAAAACCTATTTAAAAAGCATATAAATTTTTAATAAACATTTTATTAATATTTTGAATAAAAAAATTTCGTAGAACCTTCTAAATAAATAAATGATCTGAAATTCACGGAAGCTACTAAAACTACGTTTTTTATTACATAAAAAGATTCCTAGAAAATATTGTGTACATTATCGGCAATACCAATTGCAAAGAGAAATAATAAAATAAATAATAAAGACTTAATTACAGGTCATTTATTTAACTCTTTCTGCACACCTTAAGCCAAAAAGAGACAAAATTATATGGTGGATTTCTGTGGTAAAAAGAATATTTTTTTATTTATTTACAGAACAATTAATTAGTCAACAAATTGTTTATAACAACCTGCAAAATTGACGCCATTAAATTTTGAACAATGACAGATTACGTGGTTTCTTGATAAAAAATATTTAAAATTTTAGAAATTGTTAAATATCTCTGAAATTATTAAGTTTAGTTAAATAGTTACCTACATTATTTGAAAGGATTTTTAATTTGCTATTTGATTATGTAAAAACATACCGGGTGGTACTTTTAAAATAAAAAAGTTATTAACTTTTCAAATTATCCCTGCGTTTTCTCAGGTAATTTGTTGAAAAATGTTAAAGAAACAATGTTTTAAGATTCCAAAAATTTCACAATCATATTTGCAAACCTAATAAAAAAAAAGTTATAGGCTTTTTATGATCGACGTACTTTTTTCAAATTTTAATAACTCGAAAACTATTCACTTTAGGTATTGGACATGGTATAGTAATTTTACCAAAAATTTTATACAGAAATTGGTACGCCACTAATAAAAATATATTTCTGTTTATTTTTTTAAATCTGCTTTTTATTTTAAACAATAGTTTCATCTTGCATTTTCTTTGTTTCTCTTTTTGTTTTCCCGTTATGAAACTTTTTCTAAATACCCGTTTTCCAGCCTACTCAGGTAACTTAAGGTAACAGGAACATAATCGAGTATGCCATGATCCAGACTTTGAAGATGACAGCTGTCAAAAATGACAGATAGCTGTCAAAAATAGGAGGGGCTAATTACCAAAGCGTATTCCACCGGCGTTGCCAAATTGAACACATAGAGAAAACGCTGTCAGTTGTCAACTTTCATTTTTGACGTCTATTTTTGTTTTGTTTTGCTGCGAGTGATAAAGTATTTTCCACCCAATTTACTTTCAGAAAATAGTCTGAGGAAAATAGCATTTATTTATATAACTTTGTTGCTGTTATCTCCATCATGCCCGTTAATTGCGCTGTGTGTGATAAAGTATTTTCCACCCAATTTAATCTAAACAAACATACAAAGAAAGTTCATAACATTATACCAAATATTGTTTCTTATGATCAAAGCGTGTGGAGTTACAAATGTTTGGAAAAACAATGCAATAACTCATACCATCAAAACAATGGTTTAATCATTTGTGCAAGGAACATGGTTTCCTATTTGAGGAGGAATCTTTGGAATTTCAAGATTTTGCAAGTAACTAAAAGTGTGGTGATATAGGGATTTAATTTAATATGTGTATTTTTTAGGCTTTCAAGCTTGGAAAACTTTAGTTGAAGAACAACACAAGTGCAACTATGTAACATCATCTACATTTAAGAATGGAAAAGGTCGAAAAATATATTATAAGTGTAACCGATCAGGTATACTTAATGACAAATAAAATTTGTTATAGTACTTACATATTTTCTACTTTTTTTACAGGAAAGAGTAGGCCCAAAAGTCAAAATAAGAGACTTGCCAAAACTCAGGGATCCTGCAAATTGGGCAGGGCTTGTACGAGTGAAGTTTGTCTTTTGCAATCAAGTTTAGAACAAAAAAAGATTGTTGCAATCTGGAAAAAAACTCATTATGGACACCCTGTTGAATTGCAACATAATAGAATTTTAAAAAAAGATAGAGCAGTTATAGCAACAAAACTTATTAATGGTGTATCTTCATCAAGGTAAAAACCTGTAGCTCCAAAATAAATAGGTATCAACAAAGTTATTATTTTAGGATCATTGATGTTTATCGTGACCATATGGGCCACGAATTAAATAGAGTTGATTTGATTACAAGAAAGGATCTTTCAAATATTAAAAATTCTTATAACATCAACATAACTGATGGAGTGAAACATAAAAATGATGCCATGTCTGTAGATTTATGGGTAAGAGAATGTGAATTAGACTCACAAAATCCAGTATTATTTTATAAAAGTCAAGGGGTGGTGGATTCTCTCTACAATTTGTCTTATTCTGATTTCTGTTTGATAATAATGACAACTTTTCAAAAAACAATGCTAGAAAAATTTGGGGACAACATTATAGCTATAGATGGTACACATGGCATGAACAATTATGATTTTGAACTAACTTCTGTATTGGTGGTGGATGAGTTTGGGGAAGGGATACCTGTAGCATTTATGTTTTCAAATCGGAAAGATACTTTTATCTATGAAATTTTTTTTAGCAATATTAGGTCTCGAGTAGGTGTAATCTCACCAAAAACCTTCATGACAGATATTGTTTCAACTTTTTCCTCTGCTTGGAATTGCACAATGCAACCTGCCTCTTACCAGTTATTTTGCTCATGGCATATCGATCGTGCCTGGCAAACCAATTTAACAAAGATTACAGACAAAGAAAAGAAGTCAAATGTTTATAAAACGTTAAAAGTTCTTCAGCAAAATACAGATCAGAATATTTTTGAAAAAAGTCTAGGTTGTTTTATTCAGCAATTGTTGACAGATAAAGATACATATAATTTTGGCATTTATTTTCAAAATAACTACAGCTTAAATTATCGCCAATGGGCCTATTCATTCAGAAAAGAATGCGGAATAAATACAAACATGCGTGTAGAATCAATGCACAAGGTGATAAAATACTTCTATTTAAATGGAAAAAAAGTAAAACGTTTAGATAAAAGTTTGCACATATTATTAAAATATGTTAGAGATAAAAGTGCTGATAGACTCATCAAAACTATTAAAGGCAAATACACTATACACACAAAGCACATAATAAAAAGACATAACACAGCTTTGTCAAGTAATTTTATTATATACACCGATGAAAATGCTAATAAATGGACAGTAAATTCAACATCAGAAGTAGATGGTAAAATAATTTCATATTATGTTAAAAAAATCTCAGATCAGAGCTGTTGCGACTTGATTTGTGTTCTGTGTCATATATGTTTTCACATGTACACCTGCACCTGCGCCGATTTTTCTATGAAAACCACAATATGTAAACACATTCATTTTATTGCTCTGGCAAATACAAAAGAAAGCACAAAAAATGATACTGAATTATGTAATAATGACGAAAACGAATATGCAACAAAATGTAAATTAAATATAAAGGATAAATTGGCCTCTAAAATCTGTGAAACTACTTTAAAATTGAACACAACTGATTTAAATACATTAGATACTGATGTTTTACAACAAATCCATTCCCATTTAAATGTCATTGACCACTTAACAGATTTACCAAAGAATAAATTTGAGCCCCCTTCAGTTGATGCAGATAGAATTTTTACCCCTATCATTGGTAGTAATAATGAACCAGCAAATAAAAATATATCAAAGCAGCTGAATTTTCATTCTACCCAAAAGAAACAAAAATCATCAAAGGAGCTGAGGAAAAAGCCAAGTAAAAATGAACGTACAAGAATTAGCAGTTATTTAAAAAGTGGTGTTGATCAACTTTATTTATCAAACTGTGCATCTAATGATCATAATTATATTTAAAATGTTTTAGTTTTTAATATTTTTATAAAGTAGGATTTTTTTTAAATTGTAATAAAACTTATTCATACATAATATGCATATATTTCTTTTAATTTTTAAATATGGATTTTGTCCTGGCATCCTGGAAAAAGCAATACATACCTATAACAATTAAAAATAGATAATTTAAAAACAATCTTTTAAACAAATCAATAAATTAACACTAATTTAAAAATTGTAAAAAAGTCCAACAATTAATCTTAAATTTTAATTCATAATAAAAATATGCAAACCCGTTTTGTTGCATCAGCTGAGCATAATATTTCATATTATGGTAGGTATTTTATTAAAAGATTTAAAAAACAGTTACTGCAGTAAAAGAATTTTAATTATGGTAGTTTTAAATAAAATTTTATTTACATTTAAATAAAGATAAATTCAGGTATTTTAAGACTAATATAACTTAATAACTATTCTTCAGAACATATCACAACATAAAAAGTTAAAGCATTATTTTAGCATGGTAAGTATACTTATATGAGAATCATAGGTATTTCTTCTTTGTTCAATAACTTGACTTTTTATTTATCCTGTTGATGGCCAACTTTATGCAAAAAAAGAACTTTACTTGTACAAGCCCTGCAAATTTGCAGGATCCCTGAGTTTTAGTAAGTCTCTTATTTTTACTTTTGGGCCTATTCTTTCCTGTAAAAAAATAGAAAATATGTAAATACTATAACAAATATTATGTGTCATGAAGTACCTGATCGGTTACACTACACAATATATATTTCGACCTTTTGCATTTTTAAATGTAGACAGTGTATTATCTTTGAGTGTAACTATAGCCTTTCAAGCTTGAAAGCCTAAAAATACACATTAAGTTAAATATATCGCCACACTTTAACACATTTACTTGCAAAATCTTGAAATTCCAAAGATTTTCTTCAAATAATAAAAATGTGAACTTTCTAAAGTGTGTTTGTTTAGATTAAATTGTGGTCTAATAGACGTCAAAAATGAAAGTTGACAACTGACAGCGTTTTTTCTATGCACAATTTGGCAACATCGGTGGAATACGCTTTGGTAATTAGCCCTTCCTGTCAAAAATGACAGATGACAGCTGTCAAAAATTACAGATGACAGCTGTCAAAAATGACAGATGACAGCTGTCAAAAATGACAGATGACAGCTGTCAAAAATGACAGATGACAGCTGTCAAAAATGACAGATGACAGCTGTCAAAAATGACAGATGACAGCTGTCAAAAATGACAAATGACAGCTGTCAAAAATGACAGCTGTCAAAAATGACAGATGACAACTGTCAAAAATGACAAATGACAGCTGTCAAAAATGACAAATGACAGCTGTGAAAAATGACAGATGACAGCTGTAAAAAATGACAGATGACAGCTGTCAAAAATGACAGATGTCAAAAATGACAGATGTCAAAAATGACAGATGTCAAAAATGACAGCTGTCAAAAATGACAGATGCCAGCTGTCAAAAATGACAGATGACAGCTGTCAAAAATGACAAATGACAGCTGTCAAAAATGACAGATGACAGCTGTCAAAAATGACAGATGTCAAAAATGACAGATGTCAAAAATGACAGCTGTCAAAAATGACAGATGACAGCTGTCAAAAATGACAGATGACAGCTGTCAAAAATGACAGATGACAACTGTCAAAAATGACAGATGACAGCTGTCAAAAATGACAGATGACAGCTGTCAAAAATGACAGATGACAGCTGTCAAAAATGACAGGAAATTTCAAAATTTTAAGATATTATGGAAACTTTCTAAATTTTAAAATTTTTTATTCACCTTTTCATTTTTTAGTAAAAATTTTACCTTACTCGTTAAACCCTTTAATTTTATATCAATGTCAAGAAGCTTGTAAAAAAAATGCAACCTATCTCTGAAATTGCGGTAGAGGCAAAATAAATAAAGTAACATCTGCGTATTAATTAAAACTGTTATAACAGTTATAAGAACCTTAGATTTTGCGGTAGTTGCAAAATGTATTCCGTAACCTCTGCCACTTTATCCTCTCCAGATACTTACGGGAGTTTAAAACCGTTTTATATTTTCCTTGCCTTCAAATAATTTTTTAGTATTATTTTTTCCCCAAAATTTCGGAATATCTAATTTTTAACATTTCTTAGTTTGTTTTTTAAGTGGCGATTCCCCCAGAAACTTCCTAAACCTTGCTCTCGAAATTAAAAGGATTAGACGGCAAGTCTCTGGTTTCGATTGAGTAGAGGATTAAATCATAATCGTTATTTTCGCCGTTTGAGCGAACCGTTGAAGATGATACCGCCATAGAAGATAAAACAAACAGGCCCGAAACAATCGGATCGGCCTTTCTGCGAATGATCTGCACACGCCTCCTTAGACCTGCTTCGATTGCCGTCGACGATTACCTTTTAAGTACGTCAGGTGGCGGGTGAAACGGTGCGTAACAAACGTTATCCAACTCCTTCTCTGTTGCCAAGTTTTCCCGCTACTTTGCGTCCCAACAATGCCCAAGTCGTAGAAAAAATGTTCTTTAAAAAATATGCGTCTTGCGCCTTTCTTGCGGTTACTCTATTTTTTAGAGATGTCGCTCTATACAAATATTTAATTTAAATCATTTTTAGATAGTAATAAGTATTTGTCGCAGAAAAAGTATAGTATGCAACTCGTTAAAACTTTTTATAAAACTTGATATATAATAATAGGGATTAAATAAAACACAAATTTATAAACACATATTTTTAATGAAACATTTACTAAAAAAACACTCATCATCTTAGCTATAGTACCAATTAAATAAAACAATATGCGCAACATGTGTTTTGAATGCATTTTTAGCGTAAATTTTAAATTTATGTCAATGCATTAAAAAACGAATAGGCTGAATATTGATATTTTGATTTTAACAACCAATATAAGATAATTAATAATATTATTTTATAATTCCACTAATAAACGCAAAGAAGAAATAACTAATAGAATATCTATGATATATATTATTAAAGTACAACAAATAGTAAATGATACTCATCTCTAAAGAAAATCTAAATAAAACAACTTTAAAGACAACTAATGTTTGTTAATTCCATATAAAATTATACCCTTCTAAAAATAATATCCCACTGTGGAAATATTATTTGTCCAACTACCAAATCAATACGACTTAACAACAAACTGTAAAAACCTAAAATGTAGTACTTAAAAAGTGTTGGTGTCAGTGAAAAACTACAAATGTAAAGAAAAATTCTAGAAATGAAAACATTCCAAAAATATGTTTTTCTTTTCTACAGAAAATTTCTAAAACTTCTTTGAAAGGCCACAAACCAACCTTTTAAATTGATAAAAAGTATGGTTTCTTGCAAAGGAGCCTGATAAAATTAAAATTCAGTCTAAACTACAGTTCTTGACTAACTAAGAACATAATTATAGCTCTGCATATAATAATTTGTATATTTACAAATATATTTTATCACTTTAATGTTAATTCGAATTTCAGTCCAAAAGGCAGAATGATAATTGTAAAATGGCGCTCAACCGATAAAAAGTACGAAACCTTAAAGGTTTATGCAGTATGGAAAGTAAAACCATTGTTAAGCCATTAAAATCTTCAACTATTGTAAATTAATCAACAATGTTATAAAAATCGTAACAATCAACATGCTTAGTGTTCATTTTTTTAATTGCACCAATCTTTGGATTCCTTTAAACATACCAATAAATTTAAGGAAATTCAATTTCCCAACCTAAAACCCTAAGTTATCCTACAAGTCCTAAAAATAGGACAATCTTAATCTTAACTTTATGAAAATATAAAAAATATTGTCGAAAATTACACCAAGTTGGTGGTATAAACAACGCATAGAATTTTGCACTTATTACTATAATAAAAAATGTTATTTGTACCATAGTCAATGTATGATTTAAAGACGCGACACTGCGCTGTTATTAGGCGAAATTTTTTTGACATTCCTCGCTGGTCCACTGCTCTATTAAAACGGCGGATTCTGCGTTTATGGCTGCTTCCGTCGATTTCAATATAAAAGCGTTCAGCTGTTTCTTAGACGAAAGTAGGCTCTGAGATGAAAAGAAATATTATAAGAGTTGTTATATAAATGACAAATATATTTTACCTGTTTTGAGCTTTTTGCGATAGAACCCAACATACTCTTAAGCTCTTGCTGATACTTTTCCGGCCAACATAACCTTGTAACGAGGCCCCTTCTAAAAGCATCATCGGCGGTTATTTGATTGCTGGTAAACAACAACTCGGAAGTCTAAAAAAGAAAAATTCGAAAAAAAATAAATTAAAAATTCCGCAACTCACCAATCCGCGGTTGGATAGATGCGGCGTTGCCAGTAGATAGGCGCCTTCGACAACCGAACCCAAGGTCGTGTTTTGCGTGCTAAACTTTGCCGTGTCGCTGGCGATCACCATGTCGAAGAGCGGCAACATCGTAACGCCCAGACCGACGCAGTCGCCTTGGATGCCGGCGACTAAGACTTTCGGGAAAGTCAAAAGGCACATCAAAAAATCTCTAAAACAAGCAAAAAAAATCGCTAGAGAATATGGCACGCCATTTCACTTTTTAAATGTAGAAGAAAATTGAAGTAGGTTTTTTTATTTACGGAATATATATTTCTTTATAATTTTAATTATGTCCACATGTGTGGATTGTGTTATGTCCGACATAATATTTATCAATAGTTATTTATGTATCAAGGCAGTAAAGTCGTATTTTTTATATAAGTGGATAAAAAATTACTTTAATGCCGAGGTGCATATTAAATTTTATCCGAAATCACATTTAATAATACTAATAATTATTATTAATAATTATTAATATTACGTATACTGTTTGTTGCGACGGTTATTATATATTTGCCCGCCGCGGCGATTTTTTAATCATATATTATATCACGAGAACTATGAATTTAATCGGTTAAACTAGGGTCAGTAATTTTTTGTTTGGTTTTTGTTGAAAAATGTTGAATGCAAAATAATTTAATAAAATCACGAGACCGCGTAGCGGTCGAGGGGTTTTATTTTTAATTATTTTGCATGAAACTATTTTCCAAAAAGAAAAATCAAATAAAAAACTTACTGAGCATAGTTTGACAGATTAAATTTATAGGTTGAGTGATATACGTCTAGATTATTTCTTGAATTAAAGGAAACTATTTGACAATTCATAAAATCTGACGTATGTGTCAAAATTTATAAATATTTTTTTAAAGAAAATTCCATTAATTTAAGGTATGTAATAAGTAATAATTGATATTTCGTAAACTAGATAACTTATTTTTTATTGTTTTTTAATAAATGTAGGTTAAAACTTGTAAATAACGCCATAAAATCGTAAAAAAAATCCAATATGGAGGCTAAAATTTAATCGCTGTTAAATAGTTCTAGCGATTATAATCGCTTATTTAAACGAAATTTATTCGAAAATTTAAGGCCTTTGATTGGTTCATATTATAATGAGGGAAATAATCTATTTAATAAAATTAACTTAGGGTGAAGTGGGGTAAGTGTAATCAAAAAAATGATACCTCAACTTTAAACTAAAATAACTAGAGAACCAATAGAGGTACAGGGCCCATTTTTTGGAAGAATATTGCTTATTTAGTTGTTTAAGAAATGCAAATAAAACTATTTTTCTAACCGCCTTATTCTTTTATATATAAATGATAATGCTGGACCGAGTGTGCTGATTACACTTGCCCCAGCATTTGGGGCAAGTGTAATTACGACTCTCAGTTGCTAACTAGAAATCGTGCTAATGTGTCTGGGGCAAGTGTAATATAGAATACAAAATTATGATTTTAACGAAATAAAGAACAAATTTATATCTTGTATGATAAGCAAGTTACAAGCTTTTTTGTGGTACATACTAAGGTATTAAAACTTTGGTGTTTTCTTCATTAAAAATCTGAATCAAACAAGAATACATTACAAAATTATAAATTAAAGCCAAATATTAGAGACTGGGGCAAATATAATCACCGATTACATTTACCACTGACTCTGTGATTACACTTACCCCATGTATAGATTTTCTGGGGTAAATGTAATCACAACTGTAAATTTTGTTGTAATCATTCAAATCAAAATCTGGTAGCAGGACTGGATTCCTCTTGTAAAATAACCCAGGATAGCAAAATATTTGAACCCTTTTTTAATATTCATAGCAGGAATGTGAAATAAAAATTTTTAGGTGACACTCATAAAACAAGTCTAAATAAAAGTTAACTTAAAAAAAATTTGATTTTGCAGCCAGATCCCCAAAAAAGGTAAAAAATCCAAAAATGAGTAAAAGACGGGTTATATTTTTGAGTTTTAAATAAAAAAATGCCAAAAATTTCATGAGAAAAAATACAGGGTGCCTGATTACACTTGCCCCAAGATTACATTTACCCCACTTCACCCTATTATTTTTATTAAACAACATTTTATGAAGGCCGTTGCTAGTCGTCCGTATAATCTGACGAATAAAATATATTAATCGTCCGATTATCGGATGAATAAAATATATTAATCGTCCAGTATTAACATAAATAAATAATAAAAAGATTATCGGACTCAAACTCAACAACACAACCCAACCGACCCCGCCCCATTGGCCCCCCCCCCGCCCCATTGAACAAAAAACCCAACTAAAATGGGCAAATTTATGTTACGATAAAAATAAAACACTTTTTAACAAAGCAACAACAAATTTATGAAATAAAAAAAGTTCGACAACTTCTAGTATATTTTATGTTACGATAAAACTAAAACAAACCAACCAACCCAACCCAACCGAACACTGTTTAACAAAGAAACAACAAATTTATGAAATAAAAAAATAAAAAAAATTCGACAGCTTCTTAGTACCGAACCCGGGACCTCTCGCATGACAAGCGAACGCCCTACCATATAAGCTATCTAGCTTGTTGTCAAATATTAAACGGTCGGTGAACAAAAGCGGATTATAATTATGACGTAACTAACGTTATGTTATTACCGGACGAATAATATATTTTATTCATCCGATGATCGGACGAATAATATATTTTATTCATCCGATGATCGGACGATTAATATATATTATTCATCCGATGATCGGACGAATAATATATATTAATCGTCCGATGATCGGACGATTAGACAAGTCGTTTTATGAAAGGGTCATTTCTATATGTCTAAATATAATTTAGAACACAATTAATTGTGTCTGTACAATAAATTCTAATTTTTGGTGCCTTTATTTAAATTGAGAAGGTAAGTTTATTAGTTTTAATTAACTTATACCTTAAAAATTAAAAGAATAAGATTAAAGTAATTTTAACAGCTGTCAAACACGTTTTTAGGTTATTTTGTTTTGCATTTGAAAATAATAAAAATAAAAGGGTGGTAGAAAAACATTGTGTTTCTTAAAAAAATGAAAATATCGCTTTTCAACACTTGTAAAACAAATAAATATTTATTTTATTCTATTATTTTTTAAGTTGCAACTTCTTATTTATAACACGACAATAATTTTTATTTTACAATTAATTTTATGGGTATACCTACATAAAATTAATGCAATGCATTTTTATGTTACAATTAAAATTATGACTTTACATAATAAAAATTATAGAATTAATTTTATCTGCACACATAAAATTATATAATTAATTTTGTCTGCACATAAAATTAATTTGGCGCTTTGGGAATGCGGCAGGAAGTGGCAACTGCAGTAGTTCAAATGCGTAGTAGGTATTAATGCGTAATTAATCTACGCCAACTTTGGCGCCAATATGCGGAGAGATTGCGGAGAATAATTGACTTTCTGCCTATCATGACCAAGTAGCTAGATTATCGTATCTAATACCACTAGTGGTAAAATTTTACCGATAAAATTTTTGATTTTTAAACGTATTTTTTTTTCTTGTAAATTTCCTAAGTGGCATTAATTTTTAAAAGCTCATTCACATCCACTTAATATGCGTAACTTAACTTAACTTAAGAAACCTAAGTCTGTTAAGTTGTCTGTTTACATTAACTTAATACAGACAAAAAACGTAATATACAAGCACGCGCAATGTAGACATCGATTTAGACTGGGTTGCCTATCTATCTATAAAAGTGAAACGACAAGATAGCGCTATATCGTTTTACTGGGCATGTAAGAAACGTATTCCCTTAAGTTGAGCCGAACCCAACTTTTGGATACGTTAAGTTACGTGTGATAAGTTTTCAACGAATGTAAACAGCTGCATTGGTTTCAATGTATTTCAACTTACTTCTCTCACGTACGTTAAGTTAAGTTAAGCGTATTAAGTGGATGTGAATGAGCTTTAAGACCACGAGCCGCCAAATTATCACGTTACGTGGTCTTACTCATTTCAACAGACGAATCGCTACGTTTTACAACCGTGTTCCCTTAATACTGCGGTTCAAAGGGTAAATAAAATCTTACCTTAGCAATCCTGAAAGTTCGGTGGCTTTCTTCTTTCTGTTTTCCGGCGTATCGGCGACGAGGTATTTGTAATCCAGACCGAGGCAAAACTGCTTTCCGCTCGACGTAACCGACACCACGCTGCAGTCTTTGTCTTTGGACAGCTGCTGCAAAACTTTGATCAACTCTTTCAGCACTTGAAGGGTGCAGTGGCAAGATTTGTTTATGTAATTCAAGTCGAGCGTTGCCAGCTTTCCGGTCTTTTTGAACGTGAACGTCTTGTACCCGGTCTTATCGTTGATTGCCGTTTCTTTCGGGGTTTCTACTTTTGTCACGGCCGGTTCTTCGGGTTCTTTGTGGGCCTTTTTGGGCTTTTTGGCCGGGGTTTCCGAGTTCACTCTCTTCCTGCTGCTTCTGGTGCTGCCGCCGCTGCTGCTGCTCTCCTCCTCCAACTCCTCCACGCTGGATATGGAGCTGCTGGACCTTCTCCTAATCAACCTCGAGGATTCTCTGTAGGCGAAAGCCGGCGACGGCGGCGGCGTGCCTCGCGAAGAATCTTTGGATTTCTTTCTCGAAGCGTCGGAGGAGGCGGGGATCTTCGCAGGTGGTGACGGGGAGATCGCAGTTCCCTCTGCCTTTTTACGCAGCGATTTCGGGGACTCCTCGGTGCTCTTTTGCAGGTTACTTTTGATCTCCTTGGCTCGCTTGGTCATTTCGTCGTTGAACTTTTCGCCGCTCAAATTCTTCTTCTTTTTATCGTCGTTGTTGACGTCGTAGAGCATGTTGACTGCGCCTTCGTCCATGAGCAGCTTATCGATCTCTGTCAAGCGTTTTTTAACGACCGGTCCCTTGATTTTCTTGGGAGACAGTACTTTTTTAGTTTCAGCCGTGTTGTTTGCCGGCGGTTTAACCACTTTCTTGACGACTTCGGGCTTCTTTTCGGGTGCTTTTTTCTCTTCCACCACCTTCACTTCCTCCTTCCTTTCGGAAAATTTGCTGACAGTTTTGGCTGGCGTCACTTTAACGATGGTGGCTTCCATCTTGATTTTCGGCGATGCGGCCTCATCGGGGTCCCAGATAACTTTCTTCTTGATCACGCGAGAACTCTTGGTCATATACACATTGGTTGGGGTAGCTTTCGAAGTGTCCGGTTTTACTGCCGGTTTAACTTCCTTTTCTTCTTTGACCTCTTCATTCACTTCTTTAACCTCTTTTACAACCTTTTTGGGAGGCGATACTTCCGGAACGATGTCGGTCTCCAAGGATTTCCGCTTTCTCGAATACGTCTTGAGAACCATGTTGACTTTCACTTGCGGTTCGATTTCGATGGGTTCCGCGACCTTCTTGACGGCTGGCAACGCCTTCTTGGGAGTCTCCGCGGTTTTTTTGGGAGTTTCGATGGTGGCGGCTTTAGCTGCCGCAGCTTTGTTGGCCTTGTTTTTGGCCTGTTCCTTGCGTATTCTTAAAGCTGGCGCGTCTGCTCGCAAGTTGATGTGCTCGTTTTTGTAGACGGTTTTGACGGTCGGCGCGAGCGTAGCCAAGTCTTCGAGCTGCTGCAGGGCCACCTCCTTCTCGAAATCTTTTATGGCCTGCGCCTCCACTTGTGCTTCCGTTGCTGGAGTTTCGGTTCTCGCAACCACCGTTGCAGTGGTGTTTTCCGTGATGGGCGCGTCATCTCCCTCGAGAATCGCAAGCAAATCAGAGTTGTCCTGTATGTTCGCTTCTTGCGGTTTTGGCGCTGGTGTTTTGGGTTTCGCCACCGCTTTGGGTTGCGAGTTGCCCTCGGGGATCAGCGTCTTGGCCAATCTGTACGTCAGGCTTCTGGCGAACGACATGTCGGCTTTGTGTTGCTGTTTCAGCTTGGACCTGTCCATCACCACCTTCTCGATCTCCTTGTTCGAAACGATTTGGCTCTGCAGATTTTTGCACGGTATTTTAACGCCGAGTCTCGGTTTTTTCCCGTTCATCGGATCCACAGGCGTGGCCGTGTCGGTACCGATGATGTGGGCCGGCAAAGGCGGTAAATTATCGCCCAGAGGAATTCTTCTGGTCTGCTTTGAGCTCCTTCCTCCAACCTTTGCCCCTTCTACATTCACATTATCACCCTCCACTAGGCTACCGTCGGTGGAATCCTCGTTAGCATCTTCTTCGACATAAGACTCTATAAGGAGTATTTCGTGTTCAGGACCGTCACCAGTCAAATGCACCACATTACTTTCGTCGTACTGCACATTATTCTGACCGTCCTCAGTCACAGCAGTCACCTCCAACTCGCCTGGTAAATTCAGACCTTCCAAGGTGATCCTTTCAGGTTGATCCTTGTGCGGAATTTCCATTTTTTCCACCTCATTGTACACGATATCCTGGTGAGAAACATAATTTTCATCGGTAATTTCTATTTGCTCAGAGCCCGACGGCGTCGTTTCCTTCATCACAATCGGACATTCTTCCTCTTCAGTTTCAGTCTGTGATTCTTCATTTGCAACGATTTCTTCTTCTTGTATGTTATTAGACGGTTTTTCCTCATAGAATTCTTCAGTGGTTTCCGTTATTTCTTCCGTTATTTCCTGACTACTTACTTCTTCTTCTTCCACTACTACTTCTTCTTGTAGTGCAGGTTCTTCATTTGCATGATTTTCCATAACCTCTTCCATTTCTGAACTTTCTACCACAGCCTGTTCTTCAATGCTACTTTCTTCGGTAACGGTTGTTGTTTCTTCAACCTTTGCTTCCTCAGGTAGTTGGATACTTTCTTCAAGTATGGAATCTGTATTTTCTTCAACATGCGCACTTTCTTCAATCTGCTGGTTTGTACTTGCTTCCTCAGGTTGTTGGATACTTTCTTCAAGTATTGAATCTTCGTTTTCTTCTTCTTTATCGTGCGCACTTTCTTCAATCTGCTGGTTAGCACTTTCTTTAATTTGCTGAATTGCATTCTCCTCAATCTGTTGCATAGCGCTTTCTTCGATGTGCTTAAACGAATTTTCTTCAGTCTGTTCACTTTGATTTTCAATTTCTGTCTTTAAATCGTGATTTTGTTCATTGTTATTCCCATTATCGACTTCCTTTTCCTGTGCAACAACAACATTGGAAGAATCCACTTGATCAGGTGAATTTGTAGACATAATAAAATTATCGGTTGCTGCTGTAACCTGATACTGGCTGCCAGCCTGAGCTTCCTGTATGTATTGAGAAACAAAATTGTTTTGCTCCGATGTCTGGGCAATGTACTGTTCAGTTGTCACATAACCTTCTGTTGTCACTACATTTTGAGTGTTAAAATCGACGTTCATGCTTTCTGGGTGTGGCTGTGTGTATATGTTTTGTATATCCCCTGGATTTGTGATTATGGTGTTCTCGGAAGTTACCAAGCAGTAGCCAGTGTTGAGATAATTCCCATCTGTAACCATTGTGTTGTCTTGTTGGACATAGGCGACATTTCCACCTGGCAATTGGCTTCCGTAGTTCAGGTCAATATTTCCCATAAGATTCTGGTGAGCGTAAGGGTTATTTGATTTTTGATTGGAGTACACATCTGTCGTTATTGGCGGCATACTCTCATTCTTCATGCCCATATCCGATGAATATGAAACCTGAGTGTTTATCGAGTTTACATTTCCTGCATTGGAATTTATTAAATTGTGATCCATTTTATCTGCAACAAATAAACAACTTTTTTATTCAAAAAATGCGGATAGAGGACATATTAACGGCAAAAATGTATCAACAAAACACCTTGTTACATATCTGTGCCAAATTTAAAGGTGTTACATTTTGTGGCTCAGAAATAAAAAGCGTATCCCGATATTTTTTATTAGCCTGCATGTTACTAACTTTACTCAGAACACTTCTTAAAAAACGATAAAACCTAGGTGTCTTATCGTAAATTCGAATAGTATAAACATGGTAGTAATCAACAAAATTACCTTGGTTTACTTTAACCAAATTCCTGAAGAAAGTAGATCAACTTGCGTTTAGCACGTTCGTCCACGAAAAACGAATTTTGCGAAACACCAAACTTTTCACTGATTAGTTCATATTTCTAGTAAGAAACCCAAATTTCTTCAAAAAAATCTCAACTGGCGGCCATCAAAATAATATTTTGTACGCCATTCATACGTCATCTATCAAGATTCATTGCTGCCAACCAAAAATCAAGTTGGTTTGGTTGAAGGTAGGCAAGCCAGATAACACACCTATAATTTTTGAATCCAAGGCGTAGTTTTTGTTTAATTATTTTTAAAATAGACACATTAATTTTGTTTTTTAAGATATATTACTAAGAAAATAAAGAACAAAGTACATCATAAGCAATGCAGTATTCTTTACATAAATTTAAAAAACTACCCTAATAGGGTTTTAATTACTAATAACTAGGTACTAATAAATTGTATTTTAAAGTATTGAAATTATAATTGTATTAATAAAATACGAGAGAAGCTAGTATTATTTATGTACTTACATATAAATATATAAACATATCCTGTTATTTTTAAATAAAACTGGAGTAAAAATAATTAAAAAAATTGGGTTACGAGGTAAATTTTCGATCGTAGTAATAGAAAAAGTAGGTCTAAGAAATTAAATGTGCTACACAATCTAGGTTGAACCATTTTGCAACGTGTATAAATAAAGGAAGAAGGGCTATAGGATGTGACAATTTAAAATTGCACTTTGTATGCAATAAACTCAAACGTACGACGAGCTCCTAATTTTGTAAGTAGTCGCTAAATCTCTCTGGAAGAATGAAGTGGTTTTCGTCAATTTGTTTTGTTGTGGTTATTTTTACGACCGTTTTTCACACAATCTTTTGTGTTCCTGTTGGAAATCCCGAAACGGTAAGATTTATTTTATTAATTTTATTGATTTTAATGCGCTAAACATTTGTATGTACCATGGGTATTAAAAATTTTTATTTTTAGATGTGATTTTAAATTGCAATTGTTTTTTTAAATTAAGAGCAATCGTTTTTAAATTGCCAGAATTGTCTTTTATTGTAAAGGGGTGGGTTTTATTAATATCTATTTATAATCACTTAATTGATTAATATCAACGTATATTAATCAAGTTTAAACTGGACTTTTAATTTAAATTTTATTTTTAAAATACATTTGCATCAATTTATTATTCTTTTAGGTATACTTATAAATAGACCTAGAAAAATAATAAATTAATGCAAATAAGAATGCTAAACAAATTAGGTATTTATTTAATGATAAATAAAAAATATTTAATCTTATTTAGGATCCTTTTGCTTTTATACATTTGGTATTCAAACCTTAATAAGTCGGCGCCGTGGCTTAGTTGGTTAAAGCGCCTGTCTAGTAAACAGGAGATCACGAGTTCGAATCTCGTCGGGGCCTAGCTATGAAATTTTTTATGGATTTTATTTTTTATAGCCATAAAAGTTGTTTAAATGTTTTATAGTTTTTGAGAGACCACAATAATACCATAACTAAATTTACCTCTATACAAAAATTAATAATAACCAAGATACAGAGTACTTTGTAAAAAACAATTGTTTAAACGAATACCTAATATGATTGTTTTAATCTTCAATATATTTTTTTATCTATTAACTCATTATTCACGTTGTTAGGCATAAGTGATTGGCCGATTTCAATATTCACTGTGATTTAAACCAATCGGGTTTTAAATTGGAAGAAGGCGACTATAATATTTAAAATTGATAAAAAATGAGGTTAACCATTTCACAGATGTTAGATCTTATTTATTTATAATAAAATACTATTATACTATATTTTTTAGTTAATTAATTAATTCTTATATTTACGGCGTTTTAATTTCTGGCGGTTCAGGAATACCTCCTATATGAATAATAATAATATTTGAACTTTCAAAAGCACAAAGCTTAAGCAGAAGTAAAGGTTAAAATCCGATAAATTTAAACCGGTTATAACCTTTATGATTTGTGGCTTAGAACAGGAAATGTATGACGGAGTTTATACTTATAAATGAATTAAGGTGGTCACTCACACTTGAGAGAAAATTAAAATAAAATGTTATATAACATTTTATTTTAATAAAATGTTATATATCATTTTATTTTAATGATTGTATATTCAATCAAGTTTGTAAAAGGGCAATAGCTCTATAACTTGATGTACTTTTCATCTTTTTGAATAAAATTCGGAGAAACATTTTTTCACATTTTCTTACTCCACAGGCACTTGAAGTAATGTCCCAAATCCCACAATGGCATTGTATGAGATACAGAAAGTTTGAGCTGGTCAGAAGGTGCAGAGGATACAAAAATAGCCTTAGAAGACTGTAAAGTTTAGAAGAATTAAATAATATTCCGCAATTTTTGATATTTATCGTATTTATTTATAAATATACAATAACTTATATAATGTAATGTATTTAGAAAGTAGATTTAAATTAATTCTTTATTTTTGTAAAATTATATGATAACTGAAATTTTATACCTACCATAATTTAATAGATGTAGGAATAAATAAATAAAACAAAATATATTGTTTCAGTGAAGAGGTGATAAAATAAAATAAAAAATTAAGGTAAAGTATATATTTATAAATTTCAATCAACATTAACAGAAATAAATATGTATAAAAATAAATGTAAATCATATTTTTAATTAGAAAAGAAATAACAAAAAGTTACATTGAGAAAACAAATTTTAACAATAAAATCCAGGCAAAGTAGAAAATAGAGTTAATACAAAAAACATACTATTAAAAAATTAACTAAAATATACAAAACATAATCGAACCAAGAACACAAAAAGTATATTTTTTACATTACCTCCTGTGAATAAAAAGCACCTAAGTTTATATAAATATCAAAAAACATCGCAAAGACAAAATTAAATTAAAATCACAAATATATACATAACATAGATTTATTTACACGAACTATTCTAGGTATACTTAATTAAAATAAAAATATGCATTTTCGCACCATTTTGTTAAGAAATAAACACGTGGAAGATTAATTAATTTATGAAATCATATTTATTTTAAGTCGTTATTATAAAAATTAATTTATGTTAGGAAAACAGCCACAAACGTTAAATTAAAAAGTTACACCTAAATTTAAATGTATTGAAAAATTGAAAAAATATCTAGTTTATGCTCGACTAATTTATTCAGTACTTTTTCATAAATTAAATAGTTTGAATACCGAGAGGCAATTCTGACACCTGTGAAACCGCGTGGAATAAAATACCAGTTTTACTAAATTTCTTATATATTTACACCATAACTTAAGATATTACACTGAACAAAAAATTCATTGTTTAAAAAATCTCCTGAGCTGCATGCTTCTTTGTTTTTGTTTTGCTTGAGGTCAATAGATAAAAAATCCATGTGAAGTACGATTTACCAATAATTGGGGGTCATGAAATTAATCAAATGACTCAAGAAGCCACAACATCCAATAAAATCAGGAATAATATATTTTACATAATTCTATCTAGATATGTTTTCTTCACTTCAAATTTTAACCCTATCAATTATCTCAATTAGCATTTAATAACTCGAATAAACCTGAGTCACAGTCAGTCATTAATAATAAAATTTCCTTAAATTCAGATGATTTATTTCAATTTGCGACCCAATACGCCATTTCAGTGACCAGTCAAAAGCCAACTTCTCTCCTATAGTGCAGCTGCTTTCAACTGTTTTACCCTGTGCGGAGAGAAGTTGGCTGCGACGCCACCAAACTGTCACATTCAATATAATATAGAAAGACATTAATTGAGAGTAACTCTAGAACTGTGTTTTAAGAGAATAATAATTTTAAAAGTTTTTTTGGTCTTAAAGCACGATTCTCGGGCTGGTTCTCGTTTTATTCATAAAGTTCCCGGAAATCGGCCACTATTTTAACAACAAATAACACCCAGATATAGTACACACACTACAAGGTCACAGGTCCATGTTTTGATTGAGGGGCATGGGGAGGAGGGGGGAGTTATACTATATATATATTTATATTTGTTTGTGTGGTTCCAAGCTTTGTCGCGAAGTCTTTTTTACGAAAAAATGTGATGTTTGTAATCACAACTGTACCATGTGTTTATATTTATTGTTATATTGGGGGTATAGTCATTTTCAGTTGCTTAGGTACCAAAGAATGTTGAGATTTTTTGATCTGTTAAATGGACGTCACGGACATGCTCAATAAAAGTCGCGTCCAAATATTCTACTGCGCATGCGACTTAGGTATTGCGCATGTCTTTGACAGTCCAAATGCTGGGAAGGACCAAATTAATTACAGAAAATTCTTTTCACAAATACCTATGGGTGTATTTTTTATTTGAAGATCTACAAGACAAAAAACTGCCTAATTACAAGTCTTTTAAAATGGCATTTAGAAATTGGAGAAAAAATCAACGGTTCTTAAACAATTTAAAAAACTGAAAACCTGTCCTGTGAAAAATAAACATTTATCCACATTTTAATAAAATTTGTGATTTTTTTCGTCCACTGGATTTTAAGATACCACAACCATCTTTTGTTGTGGGGTTTTTCATATAAAATGACTCTTTTTTGTTTTTCACCAAAATATTGTTCAAAACATCGAAAAAAAAAATCCCACAAAGTTTAAGCCCTTAATTTAAGTAATTTCTTTTTCATTTTGAATTTTTCCCATTTAAGAAGCATGTATTTTCAATCAATTTTTTTAAATTTCTATTTTTTCTCTAACTCAATTCACCTTGAAGTACTTAAAATCAAAATAAAGGGCTCAAACTTTTGGGGGAATTTTTTTTCAATGTTTTGGTTTTAAGTTATTTCAAATATTTTTTTTCAATTTATAAATTTCATGTTAACTTTTCTCCAATTTAACAGACCTCGTAGCTCTTCAAATAAAAAAGTACCCATAGAGTTACATAAAGTCATAAAGTATTTTCCATATTTACAGTCCCCGGCCAATCTATTAGACCCGCTCGCAAATTTTCTTTAATTTTGGGAATTTAAAAATGTCCAATATATTGTTAAAAAACGTATTTTCGAACCACAAAAGTGATATTATGGGTAGAATCTCTTTAAAAACGCCTTTTCACGATTCAATTGAAATTCCACAATATGTCGCGACCGTCGCCATAAAAAATTGTAAGCAAAAACTACCGTTTATTTTAAAATATTATTGTTTATTATGCCTTTAGGTGAGTAGCTTCTACTCAGAAATTTTTATTGCGACGGTCGGGACAAAAAGTACCGTGGAATGCCTCTAAATAAAAAATTGATACTTATTATGTTATATTATGAGTGGATTTGTTTGGAAGACATTAGCTTTCTTCCATTAAGAATGAGAAATTAGTTAACACCAATCAAATCCTTTAGAGATAGCTTTATTTATCAAGAGTCATGGATTGGTCAGAGCCAATTAGATATCTCAAAAGAATTACAAATTATTTGTAATTCTTTTGAGATGTCTAATTGGCTCTGGCTAATCCATGACTCTTGATTAATCAAAGCTATAATTTAACATATTGACGACGGAAGTTTAGATTAATTTTTTTTTATATAAATTAAAAAAGGACTGTGTAGCGACAAAGCTTGGAGGGTGGGGGGGTTCACCGTGTCGCGATCGATGTTATGGGCGGTCTCTGATGCAGAGAATGTACGAGGGGTGCACTCATTCGGCGGGGCGAGAGTGCCTACGCCGGCCCTACACCGATATCTCGTAGTTCATGTCGTAGACGCTGGCGCGGTCGGGGGTGGAGGGCCGCTGCGTCAGCTGCTGCTGCTGCTGCGCGTTGGGGGCGGCCGCGTGCGCCGCGCACTGACCGTTCTCGACCGAGTCGGACATTTCGAGCGCGCGCACGAACGACATCGGCCTGCGCCGGTTGTCGGCCGCGTTCTGCGCGCCGACGCCGCCGCCGCCGCCGCCTGCCACCTGCAGCTTGCGGTGCACCTGAGGATAAACGTTCACTTTAGCATTTTCAATTTGGCGCCTGAATGAAAGTTGATTAAATAGTTAGTCGTCGCATAGAACAACATACGTTTGTCGAAAGATTAATTTTGGGTTAGATAAAAATACAAAAACAATTAGTTGACTTATAATAATAATCAAATATCAACAGCAGCACAACTGGTTAAATAACTAGTATTCCGTTAATTAACCAAGATCATAGTAAAATAACGTGTTTTTAATCTGTTTTTTTAAACCTAAAGTCAACTAAAATAACCCTTTAAATTTACCAACTGGTTGCTATCACCTTAAGGTAAATTCAAAAATAATTTTTTAGTATAATTTAACTATTAAAACAATCTTATTGGTGATATAACTTACAAGTTATATAAATTAAATATATAAATATAAATTTAGATAAAATATTTTATTGTTTACTTTCTTAGGACCTAAGATCGCTTTATATAAGGGATCCTTTAAACATCTACATGGTGAATTAGGTAATTGTTGAGGACAGGACCACGAAAAATAATTGAAAGATTGGTCGACTTACCTGTAAGGAAGATCGATCTTAATTATTTGAGTGGTCCTGTCTGAAAACAATTACCTCCCACCCTTCCCGAATTAACCCCAGCGCGATCGGTAGCCTTTATAATCTGTGATTAGTAGATTGCAAAATGGGAATGACTTATATTGACAGGATTGAATTATAGGTGCTATGCAACAAAAAATTAATCATTGTTGCTTTAAACTTTGCGCAGCAGAACGGTGTATATTTGTTTTTTATTGTCAATTAAAGCTCCTAAAATAAAAGTTAGGCAAAGTTAAAAAGTAGGTTATTTTAAAAATTACATAAGGTACCTTTAATTTTAACCAACGAAAATTGTTAAGAAGTTATTTATTAGATATATTTTTGTGCCATATAAGTTGTTAATTCTAACAAAAAGAGACGCCGTATTAATAGAACATAATATTGTTTTGAGTTTAATAGTATTTTAAATCAATTTTACACGAAATAGGGAAAACAATATTTTTGTCATTTATTCCTATTAAATATAGAATTTTTAGGTGGTACTTTATCAGAAAAATAAAATGCTCCATTGGTTTTTCTGTTCTAGGTAACCTACTAAATCTTGAATTATTTTAAACATATTAAATCTCTAAGAAATTAACATTTAGAGATGACATTTTATTTCAAAGATCTGTAAACAAGTCTTATATAGATTTCCATATTTAGTATAATATACATTGCGCGTCAAAATTAACGCATAACAAGTAAAAAAAAATCCAACTCTAAAACGCCTTTACCAATCTTATTTTTAAGTAAATAAAAAATATGTTGTAAAAGACCTTTAACAGCATATTTTTTATTTACTAAAAAAAAATCCCTTAAAGTTATTTTTTGAACGTTTTTTTAGTTATTAAATAAAAGAGATTTAAAAAAATTTTCTCGAAAACCCCCAAACACGTAAACTGAGATATAAGTTAAAGTATTTTTATACAAAATTTCATAAAGATTGGTAAAGGCGTTCTAGAGTTAAAATTTTTTGAATTTATTATGAATTTATTTTGACTGACAGTGTAGTTAAAATAAACTTAAACCGGTTTATTATCATACTTTATTTTTTAAATTAACTAAAAAGTTAAGAAAATATATAGTAAAAAGGGGTTAAACAAACCTAAAATTACCAAATATTAACGCGTTTTTACCAAAAAGTTAAATTTAATTAACATAACGTTAATCTAACAACAATTTAATTTCCCACTTATTACAAAATAACGTTAATTTACCGTTACAGTGCAATTTAACTTGAATAACGTTAATTTAATCAGTTGTGCTATTTGGGTTAAACTATAATGCCTGTTTGTCGAAAATAATTTGTAGGCCAATCGGTACAGCTTTGTCATATAACTAGGTCGAAAACATGCATAATCACTAGATTTTAGGTAAAATCCACAATAACCAGTAAAAAAGGGATTTTAGGTTGCAAAATTTATAAAAATAGATAGGTACCTAAATGGGTAAGTTTTTTTCTTGCTTTAGGTGGGTAAATTTTTAAATTTGGTACATAAACTATAGTTTTCGAAAATAAGTACTGCAAACTTTTAGGTGGTAAAATTACTTAATTTATTATTGTATAAATTTTTAATAAACAAGATTTTTATGATTTGAAAATTTTGAAAATAACTGACGAATATATCTTGTAAAAATATTATAATACCATCATAAATTTCATATTTTTTTTAAAGCGGCGGCTCATTCAAAATGTTTTGGTAAATAAGCATACAATTGCTGACAACAAAAATTCACATTCATTATGATAGAAATGTTTAATAAAAATACTTTTTCATTAAAAAGCACAACTTTGCTAGAATTTGTGAAAATGTATGAGATTTAAAAAAAATGATAATATGAGATTGATTGGATTGGATGCAAAAGCATGAGACTAAGCAACAGGAATGCAACATTCGCGTCGCGGTGTTTTAAAGTGTCGGAAAAAACGGAAACGGTGTTTTTTTCCAGAGGCTTTTTTGGGAATTTTTTTTGGGGAGAAATTGATTTTCAAATATATGCACACATTTAAAAAAGGGATAATCAACAATTTAACATTATTTTAATTAAAAAAATATCCTTACAGAAAAAAAATAAAACTAAACATTGAATTAAATTAAATTGATTTAAGAAAATAAACATAAAGGTTAAATATACTGTCGGTTGGGTCTTTTTTGCAAAAAGGAGTCAAATGAATGATTTATAAATTTAAATTTATTTTATCGAATGTTTTTTACGGCCCGTTAGAATATTATTAGTGAATAATTATTATAATCATAATCAGTGTCGGATTTTGTTTTCTCAATATCAGTGTACAAATAGTATTCGTCAAAATTTGTACATTTTTAGAAAAATTGACTTTGAATAAAATGAAAAAAATGCAAAGGTAAATTTTCCTGAAAAGTTCCGATTTTTTCTGAACATTTCCCATTATTTTAGTTTTTTTTCCGCATGCTCAATTTTTCCGGAAATTTTAAAACCCTACAACCAACCACCCACATTCCCAATCTCAAAAAATAACTACATAAATACTGCATCCAATATTACAAATAAGCATGTTTTTGATGGTAAAAATTGAAAATTTGGTTCAATTCTGTTAAAAATAACAATTTAGTTGAAATCACACTATTCTTGGTAGTAAAATTCTCTTAAAAATAAAATCAGGCTTAAATGAAATCAATTTCTTCAAAAAGGATTTTATTCCATTAAACCTAAAGTTGTGATTAGCGTAGAAAAATAGCTAATATCAGAAAAATCCTATCACTACTAATAAATAAACAACTAACCTTCGATATAATTAATTGATTAGCGTAGACAAACAAACATGTAATAAGAGTAAAAAAACGAATCATACCTGCGGGCTCTGCGGCGGGTAGACCGGCACGCCGCCCCGCTGCGCCGGATGGTATGCGCGCGCGGGCGGCGCGCCGTAGCCCTGCTGCGTGGGGCTGGTCGGGTTCGAGCGGTAGAAATCGTTGTGCGCGGGCGGCGGATGGCCGGCGCCGGGCGGCGGCGGCGGCTGCGCGTAGCCGCCGGGCGACGTGTCCTTCCACATGTAGACGCCGCGCTGCGGGCTGTTGGCCAGCTCCCTGATGTTGTCGGCGGTGTTGTTCGAACGAGGGTACGACAGCTGCGCCTCCTGGCGCACCAGCTCGCCCTCCGACATAAACCTACGTTTGCAATTACAGGCCCGTTTCGTTACCAACTCTAATCTACTGCTATACTACTTAAAGCGACAATTTTACACTGCGCAGTCATAAAGTTTAATTTTCAAATGATGAAAATTAAATATTTACACAGCATTAGTTTCACTCTTCAAAACTTTATCTATTATTTTTCTACATTTTAAGTAAATCTTGAAAAATATTTATTTATATATCATTTTACTACAAAGAAAACAGCAAAAGTAAGAAATTTAATATATAATTTTTTTTAAATAAACTTACTCCCCAATTTTAATAATTTTTCATTTTATGTTGTGGGGTTTTAAAAAGAAGTAGAAACACCAAATATTTTCCCTTTTCCCAAAAAAATCCCAATTTTAAAGGAAAATCTCATTTTCTCATAAACTGTAAAAAACTTGTTGGCGTTTTAGGGGTTTAAAAACATAGTGGTATAAATTCCCTATCCGGCGCTTTCCCCCTTTGTATATTTTTTTAAATTTTTGTCTCCAAATAATACAGAGGGAGCACAATTTTTTTATATTAAATGTGCAATTTCTCGCTCATTTTTCAGCGTCAGATCAGTGACGTGATAAAGTAACAAATTTAGCTTTTTTGCTTTGACGCTTATTTATAGAGGAAAGGAATACTAATATAATAAATATAATTATTAATTGAATTGGTATAAAATAAATACCATATTAAAATCATTGTAATATAAATGTATACGCGCTGATTCAAAAAATGACAATCATTTTGATAATTTAGACATGATACCTAATTTAACTAAAAAAATAAATTAGGTATACAAATTTACAAGTCCCTTAAAAAACCTATTTTTAATGAAATAAAATTGCATTTTTTGTAAAAATTCGACAATTTTTAAAGTTTAAAGTTGATGATCGATCCCACAGTTAAATTTGGAAAACTATTTAATGTATCAAACTCAAAATTTGTACACAATAGTTTTTAAGGACAAATTTGTCATAATTTTTTATGCTATTCCTAGAGGGCGCTAATGACACATGTCCAAAAAAGTAAGAATTAATTCACCCAATTAAAGTGCTAAGGACATTTGTCCCAATTTTTTTTCTGCTCGACCAATAGGAAACGGAATGTTTATATGCTATACAAATGGGGGACTTTTGTATTAGATTTATTAGTAATATTTTGGCCATTCCACGCTACTCGGGAATTTTTGAAAAAAATCATGAAGTTACGCTTTTGCTTTATTAAAAGAAACGATTTTTGGCTAACCCTGTATACAGGGTGTCCCACAATTAGTGCGACAAAATGAAGGTGTATTATCTAAAGAACCACAGGAATTCCAGGAAATTGTTTAAAAAATTCTTTCTTCATTATTTAATAAGATACAGGGGAGTCATATTTTCTTTGTATGGCAACATTGCCTCATAACAAAAGGTGCTTTCCTTTCATTTTTGAAGTGAGCCAAGCAAAAGTGAGATAAGCGAGGCCACTTACGCGCACTCATCTTACCTAAAATAGACCAAAGGAACGGTTGGTAAGCCTATTTTCTCTAAAAGTGACACTTGACAGTTTAACCCTTATGTTCTGTGGTTTAACCATTTCCCTCAACGGTTTAACGCAAAGATTAAAGACTTAACGAACAAAATGTCGAATCAAATAATACAGGTAGTTAAAAATATAAATCCAATTTAAACAATAATAAATACCTTTTTTTTTATTCTTTAATTTTATAGAATGTAGTGAATGTAATATTCAGCAGCGATTCTGAAAATACTAGTTTAATCGTATCGTATCATCGTAATCGTAAATTACTATTTAAATAGTCATACCTACAATTGTAGGTATTCTAGTCGCCGAATGAATCATTCAATTTGAAATCCGAATGAAAATATGCGATTAATAATCGCGGATTACTTAATTCGAAAATAAACGGCGATTATTAATCGCATACTTTCATTCGAATTATCAATTCGATTAAATTATTCCGATATTGAAATCCGAATGAAAGTATGTGATTTATAATCGCCGATTATTTAATCGAATTATCATCCGATTATTGAAATAATCGTATCGGATATAATCGGTTATTGATATAATCCGATTATGCCCAGCACTAATATTGTTTTAATTTTCTTCTGTTTTGTTTGATAGAAAGCATAGATAATAAATCATAGAAAGTGTACAACCTCACTTTTTGGCGTGCATCTATCCCCACCACCAAGTAATCAAAATTTCTCATTTGTAAGTGTCACATATTTAGAGTTCTCTAAATATGTGGTAAGTGTGCTCCGGAGGTTGTGCTTGATCGGTAAGGGGGGAGGTAAAATTCTCACTTTGGCTTACCTGTCATTTTGCAAATGGAACGGTCTCTAAAGTGAGATAAACCAAGGTGAGGTAAGAATATCTAAGAATCGTGGCAAAAGGAAAGCACCTAAAGTAATAGTTTAATTCTTAATCATCATGACAACAAACAACAATGTTAGAAAATACCAAATTTAAATGTCAAAATTTGTTACTTTAAGTTATAGGTTATTTATTTTACGTCAGACAGGAACTCCCCGTATTTTTTTCTATCCAGTCTGACGTAAAATAAATAACCTATAACTTAAAGTATCAAATTTTGACATTTTCTAACATTGTTGTTTGTTGTTATGATGATTAAGAATTAAAATTACTTTGTTATGAGGCAATGTTGCCTTATAAAGAAAATATGACTCCCCTGTATCTTATTAAATAATGAAGAAATAATTTTTTAAACAATTTTCTGGAATTCCTGGGGGTGTTTAGATAATACACCTTCATTTTGTCGCACTAATTGTGGGACACTCTGTATATATTAAATGATGTGCACAGTATAAAAAAGTATTCTCCAAATCTCCTTAACAATATACTCCAATATTATAAATATTTACAAAAAAATCATGAATTTTCAAAAAATTTTGAAAAGAGGAGCAGCTAGGATTTTGGTAAATATCATTTTTAAGTCACCAAAGGGTCCCGAACTGCAATCAGTTTTTGGCGGCATTTTTATGTGACTTAAACTTCGTTCAGGCACACCGTGTGTAATTGTTTTAAAAAAATAATAATTTGATGGAAGAAATGTTGTTAAAATGAACCGATATTGTTCTTACCTCCTTTGCGGGCTGCCGTATGCGCCGGCCGTCTGCACCATCATCTGCCTCTGCGCGGGGTTGTCCTGCGGCTGGAACTCGTAGTACTGGCCGGCGTGGTTCGAGTAGACGACGCCGATGAAGTCGGGCCTGCGCGGCTGCGTCGGCGTGCTCGGGTTCGATCTGCGAACGGCAAACAAGCGAAACTACATAACAACATACGACAAGCAAAGATACATACGACAGAGCGCGCGCTAAAGCCCGCCCGCCATGCCATGCCTACACACACAACCGAAGCTCGCGGTTCGTTTACGTTCGACAGGTGGCTTTCTACCTAAAACTGAAAAGAAACGAAATACATCTTAGTTCAGTGGCATTTTGCTCGGCTCTTTATTTTCGCTACAATTTGCTATTCATCGATGATATTTCATTTCGTTCTTTCGTTTCGTTGCAGTGATTTCCTGGAAATTTTGTTTTGTTGCTTGCTTGGTTGGTTTTTAGTGCCCTCATGCAGGATTATTATTATTATTATTATTATTACAAGCAAACACCAGTGAAACGTTCAGTAAATATGCAGGGCTCCCACGGTTAATTTAAAAATTTTATTTTGGAATTTAGGAGTTTTTTTGTAAAATTATAGGAGAAATAAAGAATGCAAATGAATTTCGATAATTAAATAAAAACAACTCTACACTGTACTTACAAAATAAGAAAAAATAAATAATTCTTTATAACAAAAATATAAATAAATATAAATTCTTTTGTACAAATAAGTTACATTGACTAGTCATTTTAGTCAAATCGATTGAAGAGTTGAATAAAATTAAAAGTGAGGAAAAATTACTACTAGTAGTAATTTGGATAAAAAACTAGGCAAAAGTCAAATGATGTTATATCTATATTTTAAGAAAAAATTTTAATCTTGATACTTAAAAACTTCATGATAGAAAAAAAATGAAGTATGCAAAACACTGCAAAACATTTTTTAGATTTAGAATTTTTGCCGAAAACAAACGAAATAGGGCTAAAAATGACAATTTTGTGGAAGTCTAGGAGGTATTAAATGAATTTTGTTTTTTATGTATATTTTGTTGTTTTTTAAGAAAAATTTGGTTGTAATACATCAATTTAAAAAGAATTTAATAAACTAGAACCTAAAAATATATATTTTAGAGTGGGCTATTTATATTTAGGAGTTTTAGGAGATTGATGGCAATTTTAGGAGTTTTCAAGATTTAAGCCAAATTTTAGGAATTTTATGAGTTTTAGGTGTGGGACCCCTGCTTGTGAAAATAAATAAATAAAATAAGAGATTTTAAACCCAAAATAAAAATAGAGAAATAATAGCAAACTGTATTAAAATAAACATGCAAATTTTATCACAGTGAATTTTTAAATAAACTAGATACAACGAATTATAAAGCACTTAAAAGTTTTCTTTGTTTTTGGGTGTATATTTATTTTATAGGTATAGGTATGTATATTAGGCTGGTTCTTATTTGACCGATGTCGGTATTTTAATCGAGCTGCCCCCTCATTTGTTTTAAAAAAATATAAAAAAAATTTATTGAATGTCCCAACTTATTTCCTTCTATTGCCTGTAACAACGAGAAGTTTTCCAGATAGAGGATTTTTGCCTTTATTGTATTAATTTTTTAAAATTACTAATAATCCATGGAAAAGTATAATTTTTTAAGAAAATGAGGACATAAGTTACTTAAAAAAACAAAAAAGAAATCATGTTTTTTCCTCCCAAGGTCTTTTTACTTTGCTCTATTATTACTTAGTTTTCCTTATATGGGATTTTTGCTTTATAACGTAATAATTTTTTTAAATTATTTATAATTAATGAAAAAATATAATTTTTTAAGGAAATAAAGTACCTACTTTTAAACAAAAAAAGTGTTCATGTTGTCCATCCTTAGGTCTTTTTTAATTTGCTCAATTATTACTATTATTTTATTGAAAATGACATAAAAAACAAGATATCAGTGATGATTATTTTTATTATTTATTTTGATTTTTTTAGCATTTTAACATTGTTACTTTCTTAAAAAATAAAATGTTCCAAAATAATCTAAAAATCAATTTCATTATTTACATAATTCTTTTTTTATATTTTTCTAATGTTGGTGCTAACTAAATATCTTTTAGACGATCTAAAATTATTTAACAATAATAGTCATAATTGTCATAATTGAGCAAATACCTAAGAATGGATATTCATGAATTCTTTTTTTTAAGTACCTTATTTCCCCTTCATTTCCTCAAAAAATAAGAATTTTTGTAACGCTCGTAAACTTAATTTTTGGTGGTAGATTACAAATCCATGTTTGATTTAGCTGTATCAGGTCAAACTTCAAAGATATTGGAAACACCCAATATAAATTTAAAAAAAAATCAATTCGGCTGGACCCACACATCAGTTCCAAATTTAAAAAAAAAAGTTAAATGTCCCTGAGGGTTCTTTATAGATAATTTAGGAAATTCAAAATGTTCTTTTTCTAATTTTTTTTTTATTGAGTATAATAATTATTGATGATGCAAGTAATAATCAAGCAAAGTAAAAAAGACCTTAAGATGAAAATACATGATTTTTTTTTGCTTAAACGTAACTTATGTCTATCTACATTTCCTCAAAAAATTATAATTGGTTTAATTAGGTGCTCCCTATTTCATTGTGACTAGTTTAGGTAATTAGTAAAAAAATTAAAAGTGTACATGTGTTAAATAAAAACCCCAAAAACACCGAATTTCAAGTGAAAGTTGGAAGTTTGGAAGTAGAGAGAAACTTTGGAAACACGGAACACAAACACCCGCCACTTAACAAACTCGACTTACCTGCGCACCGGGCTGCTCATGACGAGGGGCGTGGGCACGCCGAGCGCCTTGACGCGCTGCTGCATGGTGGGCGAGGGCCGCTGCGGCGCGCCGTCGCACGGGCCGACGCGCGCCGCCCCCGCCTCGGCGCCCCGCGGCCTGGGGTGCGGGCTGCCGCGCGCGTAGTGCTGCGCGACCGGGCCGCGCGGCGGGTGGCGCGGCGAGTCCGCCTCCATCGCGGGCAGGAAGAAGTTCGACTTGGAGCCGTGCCGCTGCAGCGGCGGCGTCGGCTCGCAGTCCTGCGACTGAGAGGCGGACGGCTCCATGTCGAGGTCGCAGTTGTCGCGGCCAGGCGACATCTGTAAGAGAAGCAAAAGATATACGGCTGTAACTGTAAATCTTTTAATAAAAAACCTTAGGAAGAAGTCAAGATAGATACACCTTAAGATAGGATGGTGCGCATGTTTTTAAATCTTTAACGTGCTTTTTAATTATCTGCTGCTAAAATTCTTGTTTTTGCGATGCTTTTGGATGTTAACTTGCTCTATTTTTTGTTTAACTTGTTGTTTTTGCTTTCGGTAAGGTTCGAATTACTTTTCAGTGTTCAAATTATTGTTATTGCGTTGTGTTAACCTGTTCTGTTTGTTTATTATTGTTTTTGTGTTGCGTTAACTTGTTTTGTTTGTGTTTTAGATTGTATAGTGCCATTTGCATTTATTAAAATGCGGTGTGGCATATTTGGATGCAATTCGGGCAACCAGTCCAAGAAAAACCGTTTAAATAAAAACATTAAATTTAATCGATTCCCGAAAAAGTTTGATTTGTGGAAACAGTGTTTAAATGCCACAAAAATAAACGTGAATCGTATTTATATAATAAGCAAAACAAAATATGAAAAATGACTTTTTCTAATAATTGAAAATAATTTTTTTTACAAGTATAGTTAAGTCCATCTGTGGACACACTGTATATACATCCCGGTTTTTCCGACACTTTAAAACCCTAAAAATAACTCGGTATCGATTTTCATACTTCCTTGTCTATTTCGATCATAATTAAGCAATAAAATTAAATGAATCTTAAAAAAAAACAAGTAGTTTTATTTCATGTAGGCTATGTATATCCAATTGTCAACTGCGATATTAAAAATGTATGTTATGTTTATGTAGTAATAACCTCAACTATTAAAAAAAAAATTACTTACAATTTCTTTTACATTTGTATTTAAACAAAAAATAACCCCATTAAAAACATCTCAGCTTTCAGAAATAAATATCAAATTTGAAATAAAAATTGCTGCAATGCCAGAAAAATCGCATTTTTTACTTTAATTGAATTTTTGAGGGTATTCTGTTACTTATTATAAATAATGAATATTTTTATTGAAAAGCCAAGCATTTTTTACAAAAAAAACACTGTATTTCTAAAAAACATTATTTACATAAAAAAAATTAACGAAAAAATTATGTTTTTATTGTTTATGCATTGTTATTAATTATTAAAAACATTGCATTTTTAAATACTGAAATTAAAAATTAAGTAAACATTCTAAAAAACACATTTTTATAAAAATCCAATAGCTATGAACTATTGTACTGTAAATTGAGCTTAGCTGTATAGACATTTTTATTCTGCAAAAGAACGCCTGTGATTGGCTTCTTTATTTAATTAAGGGTTAGTCAGATTGAAAAACGCCAAAGGACTTCTTTTTGGCTCTACAATATGCCCTTTTTTATAATACCCTGTATATACAGGGTGCTTCACATTCGTGGTCCATGAGAAGTTTGTGGGGAACAAAAAAAGATATCGATTTGAAATTTTAAAAGCGTTTATGTATAATCCATTTAAGTCTTTTTTACTATTTTAAACAAAATGCCACTTATGGTTTTTAGAAAGTGTCATCAACTTTGTTATTTCAAATAGAACACCCAATATATTTTTACATTTTTAAATTTTTTATAAAATTCTGAGTAAAATTACTATAACATGTCCTATACATAAAGTGAATAGTTTTCGAGTTATTAATTTTTTTTTGTTAAAATTTGACAAATGCGAGTCAATCGTAAATAGCCTATAACTTTTATGTTATTAGGTTTGCGGATATGGCGGTGATATTTTGTGAATCTTAAAAACCATAAGTGGCATTACATTCAAAATATTAAAAAAAATAGACTGAAATGGATTAGAAACGTTTTTAAAATTTCAAATCTATATCTTTTTCCGTTCCGCAGAAACTTCTAATGGACCACGAATGTGGAACACACTGTATCGATTTTCAAAGTAATTTTTAAGAAAACATTGACAGCAAAAATCGTTTTTTTCAATGGGATGGTTGTTTTTCAAATTCCTTAAAATGCACAACATTTGCTAAAGGTCAATTAAAAAGGTCATTAGGTAGAAAAAAGATTAAAGTGAGTAACATTTTTAAAGCGCTAAGAAAATTATCAACTATTTAAATCCTTTGACCTCTTTGAATCATGAGAAATTATCAGTATTATTCATGTATTTTAAAATTAAAGGCCCTACAGCAGTAAGGATGTACATATCTTTCATTATTTAGATTTTTTAGAAGGTAATTAATTTTGTCTATTTCGATGCTACTAAGAATTCTTAGTCGCATCGTTTTCAGTGCTACTAAGAACCTCTTAGAAGTATCGAAATTAAGGATTTTTTATTTCACACTGTTGGTAACCCTCTTAGTTTTAACTCGTTTTTTGGTTTTGTTTATCAAAATTATATTTTAAAATTTGAAGAAAATCATTAGAAGTAAATGTAAATCAAAATAGACAAAATAAAATTTTATTTTGACTGACATTAATATTTAATTTTGACATTTCGCTTCACGTCAATTATGCCAAGCTAGTAACATGAATTAAACTACTTGTTTTTTTTAAAGATTTATTTAATTTTATTGAGAAATTATGGTCAAAATAGACAAAATAGTAGGAAAAACTCTTGTTATAATGACTTATTGTAACACTAGTATATTGCTATTTTATTGCTATTTTAGGGCAGAAAATAGACAATAGATAAATAGATAGATAAAATTTATAAATATGTAAAACTGTTTTACCTTGTTGTAAGCATTGGAGTTGATGTTTCTGATGCCATTGCTGTTGTCCATGTAAGTTTTTACTTGACTGTCATTTGTTATGGTCGCAATGGGACCATGTGGACAGTGTTTTCGTTTTACGTTGTATTTTTGAGGTTTTAATAAACTGGAAGAAAAATAAATTATATTGTTAAACCCAAATTTATTTCGAGTTTTTAAATAATAAAAAAATCTTGGGCATAAATAAATTAATATTTTAGATGAGTATTTTTTCCTTGAAATATTAGATATACATATGTATTCAATATGATAGTTTTTATCACTGTAAAAACATGAGTAATAAAATTGTTGTGCTATGATTTTTTGCGGTCGCAAATATTTGCTGTTTTTGTTAATTTAAGATTAATTTTTCTACAACAATTTAAATAACAAAAATTACAACCATTGTTTGAACATTAAATTGTTTCATTTCATTTATCGTAATCAATGATGTAAAACTTTACTAATTTACGTAACTTTACAAATATATAACAATAGGTCGTTTCCCGAAATACACAAAATTCAATTATCTGAAATCATGCAATATTTCATTACTCGATTTTAGAGACCGGATTTAAAGGTGTTTAGCAAAACTATAATCAATTTTACGAATTGATTTCTGTATTAATAAAAATTAATTAATTACCACAATCTCATATAATGAATTATTATAGGAAAATACATTTAATCTGTAAGTATAATAATATAATAAATACAGCCATAAAATTTCCTTAAATAGAATTTAATATTAACCAAGTTATGTAAAAATTAATTTGTTTTGGCATAAAAATCCGAAATCCAAAAATACATTAACTATACATAATCAAAATTAAAATTTAATAATATTCATCATTACAGGAAATGTGCAAAAGGCAAATTTAAATGTAATTAAATTTTATTTGCGTAATTAAGATTACATTTAATTTACCCATCATTTAATGTTATTACTGTTTTAAATCTGCACTTTAATTAAGTGGGTATAAACCAAACATTTACCGAACTTCATTAAGGGGTTATTCAGACATTTGAATTTTAATTGTTCAAATTTAGACTACCTAAACTGAAGTAGCAAATGTTTCTTTGGTTTTTGTCGAATTGTTGTTTGTTGTCATGATGATTAAGACGAAACTACCGCTTTATTATCAGGCAATGTCGCCATTTTAAAGAAAATATGTATTCCTTGTATCTATTTAATAAGGTAAAATTGTTTAAACAATTTTATGTCTATAGATGATACACCTTGTGGTATTTTTTAAAAAAATTATAAATAAATGTTAATAATTAAATTTGCAGTCTTGCCCCTTAAGTCTGCCTGATTTATTTTTGGTATGGGCTCTAAAAATATGTTTATTTATAAACCGCATAAAGACATTGCCTTTAGGTACTTTTACCGTGTGTATCCGGTGTTTTTTTCTATAAATAGACGGACAAAATACAACTAAAAAGGTTTTATTATTTATTTGAACCCCAATATAAAATTAATTATGTTGTTTACTTGTTTAATATACGAAAAAGTACTTAAATTTAATAGGTTTAATAGGTGATGTTAACCACAAGTTATTTTAAATGAAATAAATAAAGTTTTATGGCTAGACAAACAAAAAAATGCGAGAAGCATAAAAAATTAATCCTATCTAAATTAATTATAAAACAATTAATTTTTTATATAAATTATAACCTTGTGCACATAACATAGTCAAAATTTGTTGGCTCAATTTATGGAACTGAAAAATAAATTTGCAGAATTTTTAATTTTAAATTGTTTAAGCTAACACAATTACTTTAACCCAATTGTACAGTAAATATTTTTTTTCCCAGTCCCACTTTGACATTTGAATAAGGAATGCAGTCAAATAATTGAGGTTATGTATAAGTGTCAGTTTAATGCCAATTTTGTCTTATTTTCTGAAAATAATACAATAAATGTATTTTTTGTGTTATAAATTAAGAACTTTAGGCAAACAAAATACATATTTTGTTTTATTTTTTATAAAATAAAAGGAAATTAGCGTTAAACTGACAGATACCTAACCTCAATTATTTAACAGCATTCCTTATTTAAATGTCAAAGGGGGACTTAAAATAGTTAAAAGTTAGTTAAAAAAAACTTTTTGGCACAAAAATATTTTTAAAAACTTACCTAGGAAATTGAGGTCCAAATTGTGTGTAACAACAGTTATCCCAACAACCTCTAGAAAATGGATTATATCCACCTTTAAATTTGCCTGTAACTTGTTCGTTTGTCGTCCTCCCCCTCGAAACTAAAACCATATGAAAACCAGTGAGGCCAAATATTGGTATTGATAGTAATGTAACTAAGCCCATTAACACCATACTGATAATTCTGTTAAGGTAATACTTAATGTTGCTGTAAATAAAAGTATCATTTGTAAAACTTAATGTTGCTGTAAATAAAAGTATTTGTAAAAAAGGATACGCAATAATTGGTTCTGTGTCAGAAAAGCTCCTCTGATAATGCAGCACATAAACTAAGCTTATTGAGAATATACTAATCATATGTAGACTTAGTGATATGAGGAAGAAAAAGAAAAATCTGTAGTTTCTTCTTCCAATACAATTGTTTACCCATGGACAGTGGTGATCAAAAGTCTTTAAAATAAACACATTTTTATACATATTCCATTTAAAATCACAATAAATACCTCTATACAATGATTACAAACACTACAGTGAGAACATCTTGGTGGTCTATAGAATTTACATGTGACACACCATTTCATGCGAACTGTAATGCCGTTTATGTCAACATTTTTATACAGAGGTGCTCTAAAATCATCTTCCCTGTCTTCGTCAGGAGGTGCTAAAAATAGGTTACAATAATAACACTTTAAACATGCTACTAGTTTTATTTCAAATAAATAAATTGTTCAAAAACATAAAATTTTAAATTGTCCTATTAATTGAAATTTAGCGTTAAAACACCTATAATTAAAACTAACAAAAAGTGCATAAAAGCTTACCCTTTGGAATAATACCAGGGTCCATAAAAGTTGCTAAAGTAAAATTTGCAATAACGAAAAATGTAATAACCCCTTGACATGCTGGCACCCATGGATGGTTATTCAAGAAAAACCGGGCTCTAAAACCGAATTAACTAAATTTGGAAAGGTAAACATACAGAAATAACTTACGGATAATAGAAAAATAATGTTGTTGCCACTATTAACAATGTCCAAGCAAAAGTCGCTGGTATGTATCTCGTTTTTAAATCGCACTTTGGCATAATGCTTTTTTCTTTTATGCAGCCTCAACTTCTTGTAAATTGTTGAAAATTTAATCTCATACAGGTCAACATGGCTGGGCCAAACGAGATAGGAAGAAACGTCAGGCTGTTTGACAGAAGTGAAGTTATCAACAAGTTCTTGCCCGTTTCTGCCCAACTCATACCAACCCCACGCAACCAAAACAACCAGCATATATTTTTATTATTAACACCTTAAACACAAATTATTTTAATTTTAAGCTTAAACACAATAAAACACTCTCATTTGAACGTTTATTTTTTGTTTATTCAACAAATATTTTATTATAACATGCTGCCAACATAAAATCGCTTCTACCAACATAACGTTTCAAAACACACACGTGCTCGCTCCAACCTCACTTTTACCTTGTAAACACGAATTTTAAAACTTTTAAACAAAAATGACGGTGAATTTTAATTTTAAAGGCGGTGGCTCCATAATTAAACTCAAACCTGCCTTCTCGCCTGATGGAGAGTACGTATTTACGATTATTTTAGTGATTTAATGTACAAATAATTGTGTTTTTTAGGAATGTGCTTGTATCATGGAAAAGTTCACTTATGGAGTACAGTGTTAAGACAGGGAAGTTGGTGTATGAATTCAAAGGGATCCAAGGCCCCATGGCGGGTTTCGCCTTTTATAGATATGATTCTTTTGACTGTGTTATTGCCTGTTCGAAAACCGGTCAGGTTATAATTTGGAAGTCCGTTACACACTTTAAAATACACGAAAAGGTGAGCACATTATTTATAGTAATCTGTCCACATATTGTAATAATTAAGACATCTAAATTTTCCTTTATATAGTTAGTTTTAGTAAAATCTCTCCTCTGTAAATTTGTTAAAAACTAGTAATCCTTTATTACCTATATTCTTATATTCTCTAGAAAATAGTTTAAAAATTAAAATGTTTTATCTAAAAGGATTAAACACAATTTTCTAATGATGTTTTAATAATTAAAACTTTTAGTTTAAAAGTTAAAATTAGTTATGTAGTAATCATGTTATAATGATTTAGAGTTTCCAGAAAATACATTTGTCAACCATGTTAATCATCAGTAAAAAAAGCTATTTTGCTATTATTAATAAAAAACAATTGTTTAAATTTTTTTAGAAAATTAAAATAGATAATATTAAAAGTTTTAACATAATACCAGAAGAAGATGAGGGCAAATTAACTGCATTAATTTCATACAAAATTGATGAAAAAATAAGGTTTGCTTTAGCTGATATTAGAGAAGGAACAATCAAAGAAACAAGCCTTGAAATTCTGGATTGTCTTTACCATGTAAGTGTAGGAGGAAATAAGTATTTTGGCGTAGTACAAAATAACTTTTTGTATTATGTTGAATTCGAAAACACTGAAAAAGTGTATAGATCAAACACCAAATTTAAAAGGTACTTTACATGCATATCTTGCCACCCAACGGAAGAGTTAGTATTAACAGGTGACAAAACTGGAAAAATTGTGGTTTGGCAAAATTTATCTGCAGCTAAACCAACTCAAGCCGTTTACCATTGGCACACCCTTCCAGTAAAATGGGTGGAATTTTCCACAGCCGGTAGCTATTTTTACAGCGGGGGTGGGGAATGTGTGTTGGTAAAATGGAATTTGGAAAATTCCCAGGATAAAAAGTTTTTGCCCAGGATAGCGGCGCCGATAGATAAAATCACCGTTTCGCTTGATAATAGCTTTGTTGCCATCTGCACCACGGATAATGCAGTGAGAATTTTGGATACCCGGATGAATCAAGTGAGTTTGATTCAGCATTTGGTTATTGGTAGTACGTTTAGCAGTGGAATTGTTTATGATGCCAGAACTAAGACATTGGTTATGAATGGGAATGTTGGACATGTGCAGTTTTATTCGCCCTTGGATAAATCTCTGTTGTACAATGTAAGTTTATTGTTTAATGTGTTTTGTTTTTCATTTATAATCTTTTTTAGTTGGATATTGTGGGACAAAACAAAATTACCAACGAAAGAAGTTGCAACATAGAAAACACTGAAGTTAAAAAAATAGCAATAAGTAAATGTGGTTTTTGGCTTGCCACTGTAGAAAAAAGGGAGAATTTAAAATACCACATGGAAATAAGGCTTAAATTTTGGAAATTCAATGAAAAACAACAAACGTAATTTTGTTATTTTGCATAAAATATCTTTATCATTATGTTTTAAATTTTAGGTTTGAATTAAACACTTCAATAGAATATCCACATGAAAACACAATTTTAAATGTTTTATTTCAACCTGCCGCCAACAAGGCAGGTTTAAAGTGTGTTACTGTTAGTGAAGATGGTAAATTTAAAATTTGGCAACTGACGGAAATTAATTCGGTATACAGTAAGTATTTTTATTTATTATTATTATTTTAGTTCATTTTTTTTATCTGGACTGCGGCAACGTTGCAAATTTAGGGTTTTGGTTTGGTAAATACAGTTGTCAAGTTGGTCGCATTGATTAAAACAAACTAAGCTAAATATAAATGTAATTGTGGTTATGTATAAATTATTGTAGGTTAAATTGTGCAGTTGTCAAGTTGAGTTGTCGAAATTCGTACTTAAAAATGCAATTAATTTGGCTTTGGTGGTGCTTGGATGAGTAAAATCATATAAAAAAGTAGTTAAATATAGGTTGCTTTACGGCCCAGGAGAAAAAGTATTCCTAGCGGATAATAATCTTAGCTTTGAAAAGAAATTAAAATTTTTTGTGAACGTAAATGTTGTCCAATGGTGAATAATGTGAAAATAATGTGTGATGTAATATTTATAAAACCAAATTCGTTACTTTTTTACTCTAAAAATGTCCATAAGGCGATGTAGGTACTTTTTCTTCCATTGTGGCATTTGGCATAATTTCATCAAAATGAAGTTTTGCCCTCAAAAGGGCTTTTACACTCGAATTCGTTGCTATTATTTTTGGTATAATTCTCTTTTTATTTATAATTGACAAGTAAATTTTCAAAAATAAATATTATTGTCAATCTGACAGTGTCAAAGTATTTAATTAAATTTTTTAGCAGAAGTACTATTTTTAAATACTAAAAATACTAAGTCAACCTGGCATAAGCCACCAACCTAACAAAAAAACAAGGGTCCAGATAAAAAAAATGAACTGTACTTTCAAAATAGACGTTAGGCGTATTAAAATTTCGAGGTTAGTCTTCTTCTGCTTTCGTGTCAAATTTGACAATTTAATTTGTGTGTACCGCTGTCAGTTTGACGTTACCATAACCTCAAACGTTGCCAACGCTTCCGAAATTTTGGTAGATCTCCGATTTCTAAACAATTTAATCTCACGAACAGAGCTAAATCCGCTGAATCATTGTGCTTTTAAAAATTTAATTTTTTAACAGTAATTTAATGCAAAAACATACTTTTTAGGAAAGGGGGTAGTTTGGGAATGTTACGGTGTAGGTTACTTTAGGGACCTCCCCTGTAGAGGGCTCTCATTCTCGATAGACGGTTCCCTAATGGCCATTGGTTTTGGCCCCATATTGACCACCTGGTTGCCTGATACCTGTGAGGTAAAGTGCACTTTAATTCACCCCAACTACAGAGACAACGTGACTCACGTTGAGTTTGGAAAAGGAAGCGATTGTCACCTTATTGTGGCCGCCAGCGCTTTGCATTTGAATGTGTGGAATTTGCTGACGTTGAATTTGGTTTGGACTGTGTCGATTGAGGTTTCCAGTTTGGTGGCTGATACGTTAACTTCGCATATGGCTGTTGTAGTCAAACAATCAAAAGGTAAACTAACAATCAATTAGCAATCTTTATTATTTTGTTGTTTTTAGTTATTGTTTTTACTCCTGGATCTCCAAAACCAATTTACAAAAGTAAAAAAATAAAGGATAGAAAAATTGTGACTGCAAGTTTTGTACCTAGTAGATACAGTAATGATGCGACGTTAAATTGGAGTGAAAGGTCGGCTTTATATTTTATTGATAGTAAAAATGTAAGTTATTAAAATAATAAGTTAAGTTAAAATACTAATTCTCTAATTTCAGGAGTTATTCTGTCTTAGTACTGATAAAGAACAATCTTATAGTATTGAGGAAGAAGAAAGAATACAAAAATCTATTTATTCCATGTTAAAACCAAATAAGAAAAGTACAGGTGTTAAATCACAGAATCCTTCAAAACACTTATTTGAGCATGATATGAGTCATAAAGATTTAAAATCGGTAAATTTCAATCAATTTTTATTTAAATTGAACTAATATTTAAAATTTTCTAGTATTTGGATGCTCCAGCTCACACAATGGTACCAGTACGATTCATGTGTCGTGTTTTACTCAATTCCCTAGTTTTACAAAAGGACAAATCAAAAGAAGAAATAATAACATAGTTTTGTTAATTTTAATAAATTTTTAAAAATATCTTTTTTTATTAATATTAAACGTATTTTTAATGGCAATTTAACGTTTCAATATTCAATTTGCTTTGAACAAATAAAACAAGAACATTTTCTTCCTACACTACACATCATAGAAAAAGCTACACATTAGGGTAGGTTTTCTTGTTTTGAGGATCCTCTAAATTAAAAGACTATGCCTAACAGTGTTGCCAGATTTATGCCTAAAATATCCCAAACAAGGTACAGTTCATTTTTTTTTATCTGGACTCGTGTTTTTTTGTTAGGTTGGTGGCTTATGCCAGTTTCACTTAGTATTTTTAGTATAAAACATTTTCTTTACTTTCACTGTGAAAAACTGCTTCTATATTGAATAAATTTATTACCATTAATGGTCCATTTTCAAGTAATACATTTTGATTATCACATACAAATTTGACATTTTCACCCAGATTCTCAAGTTGATTACTCTATTGTTTTATAGATGCCGCTCCATAGAAATATTTATTTTAAATCATTTTTACATAATAAGTATTTGTCGTGGAAAAATATCGTATACAACTAAAGTTTGTAAACAACAATGGTTTACAAACTTTTCTAGGCACTCGCTCGTGCCTAATTTAAATTCGTGTCTAAAATGACGTTTATCAAAATTAATACATAATATAATATTACCGCCTATAGGTTTATTATTATTTAAATACATTATAATGTATATGATTTATTATCTATGATTAAGATAAAATTTAAAAGTAAAGCCTGACTTATAGATTGCCTTCCTTCCTTCCTTCCTTCCTCCCGTAGAAGATGAACATTACGTAATTGTTGCCATTAACATTTCCCGTGTAGGAATTTTTAATACTTTGTGATAATATTTTGCAATTATAGTAATAAAAAAAATCAAAGAATAAAATATTTTCTTAACAAAATCATATTTTGAAGTTATTTTAATATTTTAAAGTATCAATAATTGTAAAGTTTAATTAAAATTAATAACGGGCAATGTTAATGGTAACAATTACGTCAAAAATGTTTATTTAAATTGTAGTGCCAGTTATAGATTTCCGTACCGTGAGTACGGCATTCCTTCCTCCCGTAGAAATTTTTAAGTTTTATCTTTCATCGTAAAGGTCTTTGACATGACCAATCACAGTGTTTGTTATTGACATGCGCTGTAGGGTGACAGCGCGTAATTATAAAATATTTAAAATACATGATTCTTTAGTTTATTAAATAATTTGTGTCTCTAAATAGGATATTTAGATATTGTTAATGATCAATGTCTTTCATTTTTAGATACGTTGCTTTGTAAAACCCCATAGTTTCCCGGTCTTGGTAAAGTGGACGAGTCTTCCAACGTCTTGTTTTATATTTTTTTCATTATACTGCCCTACTATGGAAAAAGGCAGTAACTACAAATGCGTTTTCTTGTGCTATGATAAAGCTACGGACATTTTGTATCGTAATTCAACAAAGAAATGCAGTAAACTATCTTTTAAGTTAAATAAATCAGTTAAATACCTACTGCTTTTTATAAAAATGTAGTTTATGCTAATTTCCCACAAATTTCTTGTTTAGCAGTTACTGCCTTTCTCCATAGTTGGGCAGTATACAACAAGCTGCCTGGGCAATTAAAATTGTGATCACTGCACTAATATTTAAATGATTATCTTTCATATTTACACACAATGGGTAAAACGCAAAATATAAACAAAAATAAATGTCAACCTTTTTAGGTGTCATCGCGCATGGTTACGGAATTTTACACGGAAATCTATAAATTGACTTTTTACAAGACGCACAAATCGTACGGGCACGACTACGGGAGGAAGGAAGGAAGGCAATCTATAAGTCAGGCTTTATGGCCTTTGCGTCATGTACTCACACAGAACGTACTCAAAGACAACTTTCACTTTGACATTTACCATAACCTTAAAATTTTGAGATTGATCTTCTGTCAAAGGTTTTATAAAGTGTCAAATTGAACTGTTTTATTTGACCATTTTACGGCAATAATTATTATTATTGAATAATATGACTTTAAAATTAATAGATCTTTTGTTACAGAAAAATTGTTTGACCATAAAAACGTTCATTTTTAAAAAGTTGGTTCTATAAATTCTGTTAAAAATATTTCTACGGTAAACATCCTTATCCAGCGATAAAGTTGTGTAAATAAATTTTTTAATTCTAAATTTGCTTTCAAGAATAATGCTGGAAATTATATGTAGCGGATGTAATTAAATAGACATTGTATTATTATGTCATTATTGTCAAATAATAATAACGAAATGACGGCTAATTGGTATGCGCCGTTAAAAAAATGCCTTTTTCTTGCATAATAGCGATAAGAAGAAACACAAATATTGTCCGCTTCGTTCGGATTGTGGCCGGAGGTTAGTACTAGAGGGGGTATTTCAGAAGCACGTGTTAAAATGTTCAGGGCGCTGTAATTTGTTGAACAATAGATATTTGCTATTTTTCCTTAATTTAATTGTTCGTTTTCCGCGAGTGCTTTCCGATTAATTGGGCAAAAGTGTTTATTTAACCACGAAAAGCAAGATGGCTCTTGGTGCGGCAGTGAACGAAACGGAAAGTGATGGAAATACGAAAAATATGAGCGAAAATAGTGAGATATTAAACAGAACCTCCAACGGGGACATTCAAGGGACAGGTTAGTGAAAAAATTTCTCGAAAATATGCAGTTTAATGATGCACTCCCGGTGCTATAGGTTATATCGGCAAAGTTACGTAACGACGTCGAATTTAAAATAGTTGTTACTAATTTATCGATGCATTTCAATTCGAATACATTAATGTGCTATCGGGCTCATTTGTATGGAATATTCTTTAATTCGATAAAATTATTGATAGATGGACCTTGTCTCCTATTTAAACCAGCATTTCAAGGGAGTGGAACATAACAGATTAGGGCCTTAACATTTCTATGCTAATGGCTTTTTGATCATTAATTTTGTACATGAGGGCAAAGGGCTAACCAAAGATAATTTTATTTTAGTTGGTATTTTAAACATCTATTTTAATCATTCAAATTGTGTAGGTTTCTTCATGGAATACAAAAAAATACAAAATATCCACACAATTAAAATTTATATTTATTTAATTTATTTATATCTTGCTAAGTATACTTATACATAATAATAAAAATGCAAATTTTAAAGGAATATTATGCACATTAAAGAAATATTATGCACATAGGAACAAACAAACATTTTATAATACTTAATGAAAATATTATTTTTTCTTCTTCAGATAATGAGAAAGATAATGAAGTAAAGCAAATGCAAAATGGGCATGCTGAAGGGGGTAATTACCACAAAACTAAATACCTATTTATTTTTAATAATTCTTATCATCTTTATAGATAAGCTCTCAAAAGATGCAGAGGAGAAAGAAAAGGACGAAAGTGAAGACAAGAATAAAGATGAAGTTGTTTTTATCCAGGATATTGGATTTTCTGTAAAAATTATCAGCCCTGGGGCAGAAGCTTTTGACATTCAAGTAAGTTTATTATTAAAAATACCTAGTGTTGCCCCTAGAATTCAGTTTTTTGCAGTGTAAAATTAGTACCTACAATTCTGCCAGGTTCTTTTTTTTGAGGTGATATATTGTATATATTGTTATTATTATATTTATTCAAGGTATTATTGCATCTTTGAACTACAATTTTTATAATTTAGTGCCTGTAACCAAATTGAATTCAATCAAACTAGGTGTATATAATTAAAAAATCCAATTTTTGTTCATGTTATAAATAATCCTCAACCCCTAATCTGGCAACACTGTTGGTATTTAAAGACCTTGCAAAATTTTATTTAAACATTATGTATTAAGTTACCTTTATTGATTCCTTATCTGCAGGTAATTATTCAGTAATTCGCTTTATTCTTTAACACAATGAAGCAAAGCTCTGTTTATAGAATAAAACACAAGGTATTTAGTTAAATTTAAATTTAATTTTTTAGGTTTAGTACCTAGTTCAAAATTAACATTTTTAATGAGAAAGACCATGTTTTACATACTAACCTTTGGTAATTTTAGGATTTATCTGTCATGTTTAGTAGAATAGTGCCATGTTACTGTTAGTTTAATTTTATTTCAATATTTTTTTATGAATAACTAGACAAAATAAATTTTTGTTGTTATTATTGTGCATTTTTCTACTTAACATTTTTCATTAAATTTTAGTATAGGGTCGTTTTGAGGGGTGGTGAATCCAGTGCCGTCCTTAGATTTTGTTTAAAAAAATCGCTAATATGAATTCTTAAAAATTTACTCTTAAAAACTGACATAGTAGGCCTTGTATTTTGTACTAATATGAGTGTTGTGCTCCAAAAAACAGTTTATAAAGATCTACACTTTAAAACATATCCGGTTAAAATCGCACAATAAATAAATATTTTACTAAAATTAAAATTACATCTTAAATTTTTCTGTGCAGAAATTACAAATCTGACCTAAAATTCAAAAAAAATACTACCAAAACTTACCATTATTTTACCAGACTCCTAAAACTTTTAGAACAGAGGGTAGGGTTTTAAAATGTCGAAAACAACTGGAAAATTTGGGAAAAAAACTATTTTTCTGTTTTTTTCCCAGGCCTTAAAAAAATTGTATTTTTTCTGAAAATATACAAAGCCATCAACAACTTAACATTATTTTAATTCAAAATAAATTAATAAATTTATTACAAAAAAAAACTAAACATTGAATTGATTTTAGAAAATACACGTTCTTTAAATATACTGTTGGTTGGGTCCTTTTTGTAAAAGGAAGTCAATTGAAAATATCCATTTACAAAGTAATGATTGATTTATAAAGTTTAATTATAAAATTAAAATGTTATAGACCGATGTGTCAAATAAAACGATAGTTATGTTAATACAGCTCCGAATTTGTTTTTTGCGACCCGGTAGAAGATTCTTAATGAATTATAATAATAGGAATAATTATTATATTTAAGTATTATATGATTATAATCAGAGTATAAAATTTACTTTTTTCTTGATATCTGTATTTGTAAATTTCAGAAAAATGGACTTTTTAATTTTGTTCGTATTACCCTTTGGATAAAATGAAAAAAATGCAAAAATCAATTTTTCTGATAATTTGATAATTTCAAAAAAAAAACCGTGTTTTTCGAAGACTCAATTTTTCCGGAAATTTGAAAACCCTAACCTAACCTAACGTTTAGGACCTCTTAAATTGATATGATTTATTATTATATGATTATAATCAGAGTAGAAAATTTACTTTTTTCTTGATATCATTGTACAGATATTTGTAAATTTCAGAAAAATGGACTTTTTAATTTTGTTCGTATTACCCTTTGAATAAAATGAAAAAAACTTAAAAATCAATTTTTCTGATAATTTAAAAAAATACCGTTTTATTGAAGACTTCATTATTCCGGAAATTTGAAAACCCTAACCTTGTATTAAAAACGTTTAGGACCTCTTAAATTGATATGATTTATTATTATATGATTATAATCAGAGTAGAAAATTTACTTTTTTCTTGAGATCATTGTACCTACAGATATTTGTAAATTTCAGAAAAATTGACTTTTTAATTTTGTTCGTATTACCCTTTGAATAAAATGAAAAAAATACAAAAATCAATTTTTCTGAATTTCCGAAAAGAAACGTTTTTTTCGACGACTCATTTTTTCCGGAAATTTGAAAACCCTAACCTTGTGTTAAAAACGTTTAGGACCTCTTAAATTGTCTTGAAATCATAACACATCTTAAATTGATATGATTTATTATTATATGATTATAATCAGAGTAGAAAATTTACTTTTTTCTTGAGATCATTGTTGAGATATTTGTAAATTTCAGAAAAATGGACTTTTTAATTTTGTTCGTATAACCCTTTGAATAAAATGAAAAAAATGCAAAAATCAATTTTTCCGGAAATTTGAAAACAATAACCTCGTGTTAAAACCGTTTAGGACCTGTAAAATTATCTTGAAATCATAACACATCTTAAATTGATATGATTTATTATCTTGGCAAGGTTTCCTCCATGGAACTGGTCCAAGAAATCCACCAGCTGCTGATGGACAGAGAGGACACCTGCCACCGGACCTGCTTCTCTCTTCAGCTCGACGGCAACACGTTGGACAACTTCGCCGAGCTGAAGAACATCGAGGGCCTGAAGGAGGGCTCGGTGATCAAAGTGGTCGAGGAGCCGTACACGATGCGCGAGGCGCGCATCCACGTACGACACGTGCGCGACCTGCTCAAGTCGCTGGACCCGGCCGACGCCTACAACGGCACCGAGTGCAACTCCTTGAGCTTCCTCAACACCGTCACGCAGGTAGGGTTGGAAGTTTCAAACTTGAAATATTTCATTTAGTTGGAAAAGTGAAATTTTTAAAAATTTCAAATGAAACTTTCAATTTGAAAATTTCAACATTGCCTGTGAAACTTTCAGAAATTTCATTGAAAGTTTCGCAATTTACTGAAAATTTCGCATAAATTTCGCATGCGGCCTCCCCTGGGACCTTTAATAATAATTTACAGCAGATTCCGGATCGACCAATAAGAACGAGTTATCAAGCGTCTGGGCGTTTTTGTTTAGTTCGGCTTGGATTTGAATACACCATAAGTAATTATTGTTACTTATAAGCATAAATTAATTTAAATAATTTAATTCAGTTACCAATTTGATTTGTAAATTAAATCAGACTTTAAAATTTTTTTAAAAGTCATGATTAATTTAAACTTTTACTTTTGCTATAATTGCATCGGAAAACGGATAAAAAATGCCTTTGGCTCATAAAATTTTTATGAAGTTTCTTCAATTTTCGTAAAATTTCAGTAAAATATATAAAAATAATAAATATATATAAATATAAAACAATGAAAGTGGCACAATCTCGTTAGCTTACCAAAAAGTGCTATATCTCTTTTAGTTTTAGTAATTTTAAAAATATTTTAAAAGGAATCTCAAGAAATTTGTGGTAAACATAGGTATTTACTATTTATATTATTGGTTCAGGGGCCCACAGAGGGGTAGGAGGTAAGAGAGGGAATTTGCCATGGTCCCCGAGTGGGCTTATTTCAATATTAATACATTACACTTAAAGTGATTGAAATTTATTGAGAGTTTCAATAAATTTCATGAAATTTCAGACATTTAGGAAATTTTAATAAATTTCATAAATGTCATGAAAATTTCAAGTACGAGCAAAAAGTGAAATTTTCCCAACCCTACACGCAGGGCGACATCCTCGAGAAGAAGAAGACGCGGCCGGAGAGCGTCGACTGCACGCCGCCCGACTACGTCATGCCCGACGGCAAGGAGCGCCCTCTGACGGCGCTGCAGCCGCAGCTCAGGGACCAGAAGGTGCCGCAGTGCGCCAAGGTGCTGACGACGTCGCCGTGGAACCCGCCGCCCGGCCACAGGAAGATACACGGCGACCTGATGTACCTCTACGTGGTCACGTTGGAGGACAAGCACTACCACATATCCGCCTGCTCCAGGGGGTTCTACATCAACCAGTAAGTGCTTTTGTGTTTATAGCGTTTTTGTCATTATAGATCCAGTTTGAAAATATTTTGCATGTCAATAGTTTCAAATGGGTTTGTAAACCACTTTCCATGTTTTTAAAATTAATTTTAATAGTGATTATCAAAGAACAGTTATATTTTTTAACTTTACTTATGTTTTTATGCTTTTTAAAGTGAAACGCAGAATTGCAAATAATGCATTAAGGTTTCAATACTCATTATTAAAGTAATGGGTAATGAGTCTAATTTTCATTTACTAATTTTTAAGTTAAATTAATTTTCATTACATTTTTTCCAATGAGTAATGTATTCTTTTTAACATTACTCATTTTTAATTTGTAATGAGTAATTTAAGATTTTCAATTTATTTTTTTATTTAATGTAATGTAAAATTTTTGCTATGATGGCATGCCGTTTTAACATTTATTAAATGATTTTTTAATTTAAAATTTTATTGGTTTAAAATTTTCCTAATTAAAAATTTTAGGTTTACGTTTATAAATTTAATAGTATATTATGTATCAAGTTTGATAAACGGCATTTTATACACGAATTTAATTTAGGCACGAGTGAGCTTGCAAACGAGTGCTTAAATTAATGAGTGTAGGTATAGAAAAGTTTATAAATGAGGTGCATACTATACTTTTTCTACGAAAAATACTATTAGCTTAAAATGATTTAAATCAAAAATTTGTACAGAGCTCCATCTATGAAACAATAGGGGAATCTGTGTGTCACAGTCAAATGTCACATTTTTAAATTTTATAAAATCATATTATAAAGGTTATAAATCGAAATGTATTTCTTGAAAATTGACAGTTTTTCACAGTAAAAGTAAAGAAAATGTTTTATGAGGACTTTACAGTTGAGTCCGTGCCCAAATTAAGTTATAGTTTACTGCCGACGAAATTAAAAGGTCAGTACAATGTTCATATAAACTTTTCAAATATTGGCGTTGAGAATCTATTTAATACTTTTGTATTTTTGTATTTCTCAAGTACAATTTCTTTGTGCAAAATTTTGTAAATCTTAAATAAATATTTTATAAAATTATTTAGATTAAATTGGTCAAGTGAAATTTTTTGGTATTTAAAAATATAACGAGAAATTGCCTCCTACATTAACTAGCTGTGACTTTATGGCGTTTAAGTCACGGGCTGAAGTTGGCAATAGTGGCTTTTGGGCATTTTAGTCACGGGCAGAAGTTAGCTTTAATATAAATTAGAGAAAAGTGAGGTTAATTCCGTTAACATTTGACAGATGTCAAATGTTTAACAAATAAAATTGGATTTAAATTCTTCTTTGTGGTCGTCATATATAAAGTATAGTATGCAACTCGTTTTATAAACTTATCTAGACACTCGTTTTTATTAAACACTCGCTTGCAAGTTTCGCTCGTGCTTAATAAAACTCGTAACTAAAATAGCGTTTATAAAACTTGATACATAATATACTAATATTCCACAAAATTATCAGTTTAAATTTGTGAAGGTTCATTTAAATGAAAGTCGATAAATATTTAATACAAAAATTCTCACATTACATTTAAATATAAATGGCAGATGCTCGAGCGCTTTGCAAAGCGCTCATAAGTGCTCATAAATGCTTATAAGCACTCATAAATGCTCGAGCATTTATAAACGATGAAATATAAATTTTATAAAAAAATTATTAAATAAAAAAAAATCCAACAAAATAGAGGTAATTTTGGAATTGGATAAACCTGCACCACTTTTGTGACCTGCACATGTTCTGATGTAAACAGTACTTATTTGTTGGTTTTATAACCCCACTTTTTAGTTTAGGCGCCAAATTCAAATATCGAGCACTTTGGTAAATGTTGGAGCGTTTATTTATAAGGGCTCGAGCATTTATGAGCACTTATATGCGCTTTTGAAAGTGCTCATCCTTCTCTACATTGAAATGTTAGTTTCAAATTTTAAAGTGGTAATCATTTTATTTAAATTGTTATTTACAATTTAAATTTGAAAAATTTTTAACACAAAAATATTCAGTGCTGATTTAGCTGACTGCGCATATGCTGCAGACTTTGTACGTTTTACCCAAGGATTTTATGTGTAAAATACTTGCGTTTTACCGACTATGGACTATGCTTAAAATTGACCACTCTACCACAGAATAAAGAACAACCAGAAGCGACACTTTTTAAGCCGCCTTTGAAGTTTTATTGTTCAATTTGGATGACCTTCAGCCATTTTGTTGGTGTTACTCATAGCGGCAAATTTAAAACTATCCACATTGGGAAGAATTAAATATTTATAAAAACAAATATTAAACTATGCACAACTTTATTATTATTATTATTATTTTTTATTAATATTATTAAAGTAAACAAATTTTTTTGTTATAACATAAAACATTAAAACCACAAGAAAAAGTATAACTATAAAAACCTTATTAAAATTAAATATATAGGTATATTATATTATATTATATATTATAATATATTATTATTATAATAGTATACATAAAATTAAAGTTAATAAATACCTTTCCGGGTCCTTTGGAAATCTAAAGAAACAGATTGTCTTTCTGAGAGTATTATTATGACATCCAGGCACTGCACACACAGTTCCACCTTTAATTGAGGTTTTTTCTTCCATTATACACTCGCTTGGCAAAACCACAAAAAACGATCAAAAATACTTAAGATAAACTTTACAAACACAATTTGAGGTTAATAAAAACACGATGACATATAACACCAAGAAGATGGCGGCGACGAGCAGATTTGGTTTTGGCGGGAGATACAAGTGTCGCTTCTGGTTGTTCTTTATTCTGTGACTCTACAGCGTACGCCGTCTGCTAAAGCTACGTTTACACTTTGTAAATTAAAAATTATCGACCTACATTTAAATGTAAATTTATGAATATTGTGTTAAAAATGTATCAATTTAAAATTGTTAAAAATAAACATTTTTGGTTTAAATTTAAATAAAGACATTTAAATGATAGTCGATTAATTTTTAATCCAAATATTACCATTTTAAAATTTAATACTTACATTTAAATGTGTTTCGTGTTAATATATTATAGTTTTAATTGATAGAAGTAAGTATTGTTGAGCAATTTAACAATTGTATAGTTTTTTTGATTAAAAAATTGGGATCGCGAGGGCAGAGGTTGTCAGGCAAAATAAGAAGAAAAATAGACAAGAAGAGAAAAACGTCTGTCGAAAAAAAGAATTTAGATTAGAAGAATTAAAGATAATTAAAGATAAATTGGAATAGTTCAAAAAGGCTTAAATTGTTTCTGGTAAGTCTGACAATCACACGTTATTATTTTCAATAAAAAGAGACAAATAATATATTGCGTGCAATTATTCAAGAGAATCAGCTAACAAAAATATACAGTCCACTTAAACCAACCAACAAAATGTAATGTGAGATTTTTTGTATTAAAAATTTATCGACTTTCATTTAAATGACTCTTTACAAATTTAAATCGATAATTTTGTGGAATAAAATATTTGAAGTACAACCAATATTTTTAAACTTAAACTTTTACAGTAGCATTAAAAGTTTAACCATGTAAATTTCTGTTAAAACATCCTTAAAGTGTTAAACATTAATCTTTAAACCATTATCTAATAAATGCTAAAACGGCGTGTCATGGTAGTCTAAGTACTTTTTCTCCTTAGATCTTCCGCAGAGGACTTCAACCCCAAACCCTCGTCTCCTAGTCATTTGTGCCATTCGTTGATCGAGCTGCTCAACCAAATATCGCCGCAGTTCAAGAGGAACTTCAGCATCTTGCAGAAAAAACGCAACCAACGGCACCCGTTCGAGCGGGTCGCCACCCCCTACCAGCTGTACGCGTGGACCGCACCCACGATGGAGCACACCGTGGACGCCATCCGCGCCGAAGACAGTAAGTTGCAAAACTAAGATAATAGCGTCCGAAAAATTACGTTGTACCTTCATTACTGTGGTCTTAAGACTCTTAATTATAGATTTAACGTTTTAATTTTATTTCCAAATCGCCAATTTAGTACTAAATTTTTATATCTTATAATATTTTTTTCATTATTTTCAATAAAATAAGTAAATTTGTTGGTTGGTTTTAAAAATTACGTCCCTTATAAAACTTTAAAGTGTTGAAACTTAAGGGTTATTAAAATAGGTCAAAATAACATAAATAAAACTTATTAAATAACTTTAAAAAAAGTTTTACTTCAAAGTAAATTTTTAAGGTAAATTTAACAAAATATTTACTTAAATTAAGTAATATTGCATCAATGCTCTACGCTTTTACTTAAAATGCTGGGTGTGGTATTCTAAAATTAATCTTCTCAAGTAATTCTGGAGAATTAATTTGAGAATTCAAAAGTTTAAAGATAAATATAACATCAATACATTTTCTTCTGATAGCTAAACTTTTTAAAATATTTTCAAAAGGTGGCCCCATCATGTTATTACATTTATCCCGCTTATTTTTATTATGACGGATGTTTCCCTGTTGCATTCATTCATTCATTTATGGCAAGTTGTTGGTAAACTGAAATTTAAATTTTCGCAGCGTTCTCGTCGAAGCTGGGCTACGAGGAGCACATCCCGGGGCAGACGCGCGACTGGAACGAGGAGCTGCAGACGACGCGCGAGCTGCCGCGCAAGACTCTGCCGGAGAGGCTGCTGCGCGAGCGCGCCATCTTCAAGGTGCACAGCGACTTCGTGGCGGCCGCCACCAGAGGCGCCATGGCCGTCATCGACGGGAACGTCATGGCCATCAACCCCGGCGAGGAGGCAAAGATGCAGATGTTCATCTGGAACAACATCTTCTTCTCGCTCGGGTTCGACGTCAGGGATCATTACAAGGAGCTGGGAGGCGACGCTGCCGCTTTCGTGGCGCCGGTAAGAAGTTTTTTGATCGCACCTGTTTTGCTCAATTTAATCCCCTTAAATCCGTTTTGATGAAAAATGAGAACCATGCATTAAAAAAATACTACCTATCAATTTGTGCATTCAAATGGAAGAAATATATTATTTTTTTTATAAATATATGATGGCTTTTGCAACAATTTCTATGTACACATTGATAGGTAGGAATATTTAAATGCATGTATCTCATTTTTATCAAAATGGATTTAAGGGGTTTTGATACTAGAGGATTTAATTAGCCTTGTTTCAGAGATTTTTTATATGCAAACATTAAAATTCGTTTATATATTTTTTTAATCGCATACTTTAACCGAGGATCATTGGTCACAATGCTATAAATCCCAATTAAACTGAAAAAAATATATTATATACATTCATAAGGAAATAAAATTGCTCTTTAGCAAAAATTCGACAATTTTTAAAGTGCTGTTTCGCAAACAATTTTTATCCGATTTTAATAAAATCTACAAAATTTTTTAGCTTCTTCTACAGTGTGACCCATTTGTTTGTGACTCACCCCTGTAAAATCTTTATTTATTGTGCGATTTTAACCGGATTTGTTTTAAAGTTTAGATCTTGATACACTGTATTTTTGGAGGAAATGACACCATCTTAGTACAAAATACAAGGCCGACTATGTCAGTTTTTAAGAGTAAATTTTTAAGAATTCATATTAACGATTTTTTTAAACAAAATCCAAGCACAGCACTGGATTCACCAACCCTTAAAATTACCCTTTACTAAATTTTATTAAAAAAAATTAAGTAGAAAAATGCACAATAATAACTACAAAAATGTATTCTGTCAAGTTATCCATGAAAAAAACATTGAAATAAAATTAAAATTATAGTAATAGTACCATCTTACTATTAGTTTAATATTATTTCAATGTTTTTTTCATGGATAACTTGACAAAATAAATTTTTGCAGTTATTGTGCATTTTTCTACTTAAAATTTTTCAATAAAATTTAGTATAGGGTCGTTTTGAGGGGTGGTGAATCCAGTGCCATGCTTGGATTTTGTTTAAAAAAATCGCTAATATGAATTTTTAAAAATTTACTCTTAAAAACTGACATAGTAGGCCTTGTATTTTGTAAATATATGGCATTTTTGCTTCAAAAATACAGTTTATTAAGATCTAGACTTTAAAACAAATCCGGTTAAAATCGCACAATAAATAAAAATTTTATAGGGTTGAGTTGCATAGAAATGGGTCACACTGTATATACAGAGTGAGTCATTTAACTTGAAACTTTGAAATATCTTAGTTAGTATGCATTTTACAAAAAATGTTTAAAATAAAAATTAAATGATTTGAGGGGGAAATCATCTAGTACTAAATTGGTCCTCCTTATTAATTCGCATTTCGTTTAAATATTCTGCTAACACTGCCGTGTGCTTGCATGAGGATTAGCGGCCGTTGCTGCTAATAAATTAATTTCATTATTTTCACCTGTGACTGTTGCTCGACGAACTCTTTTTTTCGGTTGAACACTCTCGTTTGTAGTAAACGGCTTGACTGTACGGTGAAATGAAGTACGTGATCGAATTTTATCCGGAAAACGCTGATCGTAGATATTAATTATAATCATCAAGATTCTTCCCTGCTTCTCCATAAATCAAAATCATTTCAATTTTTTCTTCCACTGTTAAAAAATCCATTATGAATAACTGCTTAACGAAAGGAGGTCTTTTTGTTTTCAAATTAATCTTCGAACTAAATTGATTAAATTATATGTATAAATAGTTTCTTTATACCTCACTAATAATTATTATTTATAACTAAATTCCATTTTTTATACCTTAATTAGGATTAAATTAATTAATTGACAAAATAATTTTACCTTAAATGAGGTATTTTTTATAAAAATAGTACAATAATCCTTTAAATTAAAGGATTTATTGCTGACAGGTAAAATGTGACCATGGTGCGCAATTGATAATTATCACCGAATTAAATGTATAAAACTTAAACCAAAGGAAACTTAAATATTAGTTAAAAAATCGTGGATACTTAAAAAAATCAGATTTAATTTAATAAGATAATTATTACAAAAAAAAACTAATATTTTTATTGAAAAATTATTGCAGAAATGTATAAGAAGAAAAATCAAACAAAATTGACCTATTTTTAGTCGAATGATCCGAATCTGCAATAAAAATAGGGTGTTCCATTGGAAATTTTAAAGTTACCCCCTGTTCCCCCTATAAGGAGGAGAGTATATACTAAAATTGGTCGTCATATGAGGACCAATTTTAGTACTGATTGATTTCCCCCCCTCGAATCATTTAATTTTTATTTTAATTTTTTTTTTTCGTAAAATGCATACCAACTGAGATATTTCAAAGTTTCAAGTTAAATGACTCACCCTGTATAAATTGATTTAAGAAAATAATGTAATAATTACGTTAAATATACTGTCGGTTTGGTCTTTTTTTTGCAAATGGAGTCTATTGAAAATATCCAATTACAAAATAATGAATGATTTATAAAGTTAAATTACAAAATTATAATTTTATAAATCGAAGTGTCAAATAAAACGAAAGTTATGTTAAATACAGCACCGAATATGTTTGTTTTGCGGCCCGGTAGAATATTCTTACTGAATTGAAAAAAATGCGAATCAATTTTTCTGAAAATTTCCCGTTTTTTTCCGGAAAAAAATTGACTTTTGCATTTTTTCATTTTATTTAAAAGGTAATACAAAAAAATGCAAAAGTCAGTTGTTTTGAAAATGTCCCAATTGTTTGTATGTATATAAATTTAAAAAAATATATAAAAAACATAATTTATTTTGGCAAACAATCGCTTAAATCAGTACACGCTGATTTCAGTAAAGCTTGGGAAACATTTAAAGTCTTTAAAAGTTATTCTGATGAAAACAATTATTATAAAAGCTCAAATATATAAATAAATTGTTTGACACCATAATTCAACAATAGTCTAGACGTCTTATCTTTATTGTTACTTTGACTTTTTTAATGATAATAATTATAATATAATTATAAATTATAATTATTAATTCTGGAATTCTACTATGAGTTATTTTTTTTTATTTAATAAAGTACTAGTATTATAATATTAATAAGAATAGTTTTAAATATGAGTTTTGTAGTTTTGAAAACAATTATTCGACTGTAGTCTTTGTTGTTAACATGACTTTTTGAATCTGAATTGAAATTATTGTTTTTTTTTTAAATTTTATTATTATTATTAAAAACCAACTTAAAACCAGGCTTTGTTATCTATGCTTAAAACTGCATTTATTTTGAAGACCATCTATTTCATTAAAATTTAAAAAAAAGCATGTTTTTTTTTAACCAAGCAGTTTGTTTTTCATAAATTTGTTTTCCTTAAGTTTTTTTCAAATTTGAAAAAAGCGTTTTTCACATCAATAATTTAATTTAAGGGTAAATAAAGGTGAAAGAGTAACACATAATGAGTAAACTGGTGAAAATATGAAGAAAAAACATTTTTTAGCGAAATGACTTGCAAGGCGTCCGCGTCTACAGCGCGGTAGACTTGCCAGGTCTCTACACCTTGGGCACTGTCGTCATCGACTACAGAGGTTACCGAGTGACCGCCCAGTCGATCATCCCCGGCATTTTGGAGCGCGAACAGGAACAATCGGTCGTCTACGGTTCCATAGACTTCGGAAAGACCGTCTTGTCGCACCCCAAATACCTCGACCTGGTAGGAAACTCACTCAACCTTTCTGCATTCCGTGCGTTTTTAATCGTGTAATTGTTGTTTAGCTGAACAAGGCGGGCCAGCAGTTGAAAATCTTGCCGCACCACGTTCTAAACGAGAAAGAGGAATCCATAGAGTTGTGTTCCAGTGTGGAGTGCAAGGGTATCATCGGTAACGACGGTCGCCATTACATTTTGGACTTGTTGCGCACCTTTCCGCCGGACGTCAACTTCCTCAAACGTAACCGACTCCACAATCGAAAAAATCGAATATTTTTTTTGCTTCACACACTAAAAAGCGGAACCTCTAGAAAACATGTAATGAGTAACTTAATTTTCGTTAAAAAAGAAGTAATGCATAATGAAAATTAAACACATTACTCATTATTTTAATAATGTGTATTGAAACCTTAATGCATTATTTGAAACTCTGGGTTAGAGAAATCGCGTAGACACATCAGTAATTTTACAAAAGATTTGATTAATAATGAAATATGGTCTTTTTTATAAGACTAAAGAAAAAATGGAAACTGTAATGAGGAGGATCTTTTTATTAACATAAAGAGCTCAAATTTAATGAGCACTTTCTAGAAGTGCCTAAGAACCAATTTTTAGTGTCTGAAGTAAAAAAAAATCGATTTTTTTGAATCACCCTAATAAACGTTACTTTCAGTTGAGGATGACGACCTGAGCAAGGAAGTTAAGCTCCTGGGCTTCCCCATCGAGCACAAGCACAAGCTTTGCTGCTTGCGGCAAGAGCTGATCGACAGTTTCGTCGACGCCCGCTACATGATGTTCATCAAGTACGCGGCGTATCGCTTGCAGATGCTCAACATGATCAAAAACGACGACAAGGAGAAGAACAAGGACGCAACAACCAAGGCCATAGAGGAAAAGAAGGAAGATGCCAAAGATAAGGACGACAACAAGGAGAAGGAGGACGAAGAGAAGAAGAAGAGTCAAATCGAGGAAGACGAGGCGAAGAAAATCGTCGAGAGCATCACCGATGGAAGCAAAATGGAGTGTAAGTCTTTACATTTATTAAATAATTTTTTAATTTAAAATTTTATTGGTTTTAAATTTTCAGTTTACATTTATTAATTTAAAATAGTTTCAACTATCATGGATTGAAAGACAAAATTTACTTACTATAGTTATAACAGTTCACTTTTGTATCAAACAAAATTATTTCCAATCAATTTATTTGAGTAGATTTTTTTAAATCTTAAATAAATATAATAATAAAACTATTTAGATTAAATTGGTGCAGTTAAATTTTTTAGTATTTAAAAATAGTGTTGAAACCAGAGTTGCAAATAATGCATTATTTTCTTAATGCATTAAGGTTTCAATACACATTATTAAAATAATGTGTATTGTGTTTAATTTCCATTATGCATTACTTCTTTTTTATTAAAAATTAACATTTAATGTATTCTTATTTACATTACTCATTTTTAATTTGTAATGAGTATTTTGAAATTTTCAATTACATATCTTTATGTTGGGTCGCCTTCTCACCTAATTATCATAATCCCACCATCAACCCTGTTAAGTTTAACATAAAAATTTGCAAGGAAATCGAAGAATACAAACAGTTTAAAAATTAAAATTTAAAACGCATGGAAATATGCTTTGGATAAATTTGATACACAAAAATTTTAAGAAATAAAAATTCCAATTTGGACCATTATAAAAGAAATAAGCAGCAAAAAAAACGCGATTGTTTTAAAAATTTGATATATTTTTAGTGAGTAATCAAAAAAATATTAAACCTTACCAGAAAGGGATTTTTAATGGGCACTTCAAACGAAAAGAATTTGAAAATCAACATTTTTCAAACTGTCAGACTGGGTGTAAAATGCCCCAATATAAAAAATCACCCCATTATCCCTGATCATTTTTCACTGATGTAATGGGTAATATCTTTTGTTGCACTTTTTTTAATGTGTAATGTAGTCTCTCATTACTCATTTTTTAATGAGTAATGTATTGTTTGACATTACTCAATAATTTTTTAATGTGTAATGAAAATATTTCTCATTACAATTTTTTTTTAATGATCAATATATTCAAACTACATTAACATTTTTGCAACTCTGGTCAAGACATTTAAAATAAAAAAAACAAATAAACCATTTTTTTGCCAAAATAATTTAAAAAGTTCAATTTTTTTAAACTCAAAACAATTGAGAATCAAAAAATATTTTAAACCTAAAATGCAAATGTAAAAGTTTGTTTAAAATATTGGTTTTTAAAAATAGGAGTTTTAATATTTTATTCAACAAAATTATTGGTTTAAATTTATAAAGGGCCATTTAAATGATAGTCGATAAATTTTTAATACAAAAATTCTCACATAACATAAATTTAAATGTAATGTAATTTTTGTAATAAAAATTTATCGACCATAATTTAAATGACTCTTTAAAAATTTAAACCAATAATTTTGTAGAATAAAATGTTTGAACTAATTTTTTTAAAAATCAACATTTTTAAGCTTAAAGTTTTACAGTTGTATTTTATATTTAAAATATTTTTTGACTATCAATTCTTTTGAGTTTAAAAAATTTTTACTTTTTAAACATTAAATGTTTTTAATTACAGTAGAAGAAAGCACCAAGAACATTGTCAAAACAGCTAGTGCGGCTGTTGGTTCTCTAAAAGAAACCGAGTTCGATATCAGGTTTAATCCGGATGTGTACTCTCCCGGAATCAGACATTGCGAAACTCTGGATCCACCGATTGCCAAGCAAAAACAACTCGTCAAAGACGCTGCGGAGTTCCTTTTGACGGTGCAAATCCCCACTTTTGTAAGTTTTTATTGAGAATAGTAATTATTATATTTGCGGATTCTACCCCAATTTTGGTCATTTTCCTATGTTAAATCCCATGGTCCAAAATGGCAAAAATTGTTGTTTAAAATATTGAATGAATATTTTAATGCTTCTTTACAACATTTAGATGTCCCACTTTTTATATTTATACAATATTATATTATTGTATTATATTTTATTAATGTTTCCTCAACATCACAAAAATATTGGAAACATTTTCAAAAAATTTTCAGTTCATTGCATATTTATTTTAACAATGTTATGTAATGTAATGTAATGTGGTTTGGTATTCTCCTTTTAGATATACTAAAACAGTGGAATATTTTTGCACGCTAAAAATACAAGAAAATTAATAAAAAATATTAAAAAAAAATTGTTTATTTTAAAAATAATCAATATAAATAAAAGTGAAATATGTAAAACAAAAAAGTTACAGAAATAAAAGAATATTTTTCTTTCTACAGATTTTTCCTTGGCCTTGTACTGTACCTATAAATAAACAACAAAAACTTGATTTTTACCTTGTTTAATGTTTTTATTTTGTTAATTTTTGAAAAGGCTTTAAAGCAAAGTGTTTTTTTACAAACAATTTATGAATTGTGATGATGAGATCTTCAACAAACTTCTTCTTTAATTAACTTCTTATTTAGTTTTTTGGCCTTAACTTTGCAAGTCAGCTGTTAAACAATTGAAATTTACATAAAAAACAGGGAAACTTGAAATTCCCGGCTGGAAACTTTCCAAAATGGAAACTTTCCGATTCCCATCTCTAGATTTTCCTAAGAGATTTAACATGGGAAAAAACTGACAGGTGGTTATTTTTTGCTCGTTTCAAGATCAGGGACTGCTTGGACCACTCGTCGGCCCCCATGGACGGCGTGACGTTGTCGGAGGCGATGCACAACAGGGGCATCAACATCAGGTACCTCGGCAAGGTCACCAATCTGCTGGGAAAGGTGAAGCAACTCGAATATCTGCACAGCATCGCCGTCGCCGAGCTCATCCTGCGTTCCGCCAAGCACATCTTCACCATTTACCTGCAAGGCTGCGAAATGATGAACCTCTCGGTCGCCATTTCTCACTTCTTGAACTGCCTGCTCTTTTCCGGCGCCGTTGTGAATCCCCTGCAAGGCGTCGACGAGGTAAGTCTAATACATTTTTATTTTTGCTAATTTTACTACGTCAATTTGTTAAAAACACCTTAAACCGTTAGGTTTTGGTAATAAAAAAAATAATTAATAATAAATTTGGCTTAAAATCTACGTTTGTATTAAATATTTTTTTAATTTAAAATTTTATTGGTTTAACATTTTCCTAACTAAAAATTTTAGGTTTACATTTATAAATTTATTATATTTTTCACCATCATGTATTGAAAAATAACTACTGAATTTTGTAAACATTAAATATAATTATTTAGTATTTAAAAATAGTGTAGACATTTAAAATATAAAACACATATAAAATATTTTCTACCCAAATAGTTTAAAAACTTAAATTCTTTTAAACTCAAAATATAAAATGCAAATGTAAAAGTTTCAAGTTTGAAATATTGGTTTACTTATTTATTCTGCAAAATTAATGGTTTAAATTTGTAAAGAGTTATTTAAATGATGGTGATAAATTTTTAATCCAAAAATTTCCACTTTAAAATCTAAAAGTTACATTTAAATGTAACTTATATTTGAAATAAGGTTCGTGGGTTTAGGAAGAAAAATTGCCGACGTTAAATATTTCTTTCTTTCTCAACTCTAAAAATGAGTTAAAATAGTCGAATTAGTCTATGGACATTCTCAATAGATTACATAACAAAAACAGTTATAGTAAATATAATACTGTATATACATATATAAATAATTAAGATTTAGATCAATTCCTATAAATATAACAAAACAATAACAGAAGGTAACAAACTAGAATCCTTTAAATATAGTTTTAATTGAGATACAAATTTTAGGTTTACATTTATAAATTTAAAATATTTTTAACTATCATGTATTGAAAGATGACATTTACTGAATTTTGTAAATATTAAAAATAATTATTTGGATTAAAATCAAAAGTTAAATTTTTTAGTATTTAAAAATAGTGTAGAGACATTTAAATAAAAACGCATATAAACCATTTTCTACCAAAATAGTTTAAAAACAATTTATAATCAAAATATTTTAAATATAAAATGCAAATGTAAAAGTTTAAAATATTTGTTTTTAAAAAATGTAGTTTTAATATTTTATTCTTCAGAATTATTGGTTTAAATTTGTAAAGAGTTATTAAAATGATGGTCGATAAATTTTTAATCCAAAAATTTCCACTTTAAAATCTAAAACTTTTAACATTTAAATGTAACTTTTAGCACGTAAAATAAAATCAACTTCCTTTTTTTAGGAAAAATTGCCGACTTCTCGAAAATATTTCTTTCTTTCTCAACTCTAAAAATGAGTTAAAATAGTCGAATTAGTCTATGGACATTCTCAATAGATAACATAACATAAACATAAAGTTATAGTAAATATAATACTGTATATTAGACGGGCCAAAAAATCGACTTTTTTTTTGTAAAGTATCTTAAAAATATTGTCCATAATATTAATATCATCGCAATTTTAGATTTTTTTCCTGAGCTAGTTTTTGTCTCAGCACTCGCAAACCATTGAGTTTAACAAAACTGACTTAAGAATATTTTTTAAAGAAAATTTAATCCTCTACAAAAAAGGTTTAATTGGAATTTCCCGTCAGATGAACCGTTTTCTTACAATCATGCCTTAAAAATTTCTATAGTTTTACAATTTTATCTTTTAACTTTGGAATTTTGGAATTCATGTAAAAATCAGTACCCAGAAAAAAAACGATAGATATTCTTTTGGGAAATCAAATGCTCTACAAAAAAAGTCTCCTAACATTTTTGGCTAAATTCACTCAATCAAAAGTTATTCAAGGTTAAAATTTCGTTTTGACTTCAAATTTAACCTTGAATAACTTTAGATAATAATAATAATAAATAAAATAATTCTTTATTCGTCCCAAAAAAACATATAAAGGATATTTTATAGAGGGACACCTCTGTATACACATTATAATTCAGTACATATTTACATTAACAATCGTCATACACAATTCTTATAGTTACTTAAATACACTATACACATTTATACATATATATTTACATATACATTTATCACTAATACAGTCATTATTAAATATCACAGATATACTTAAAATAAATAAAGCAAGCTTTAACCTCAACTTAAGTTTTTTTTTTTTTTTTTCTTCAGTCTTTTTTAGTCCTCCCTGTAATATTGAATATAATCATTTATGTTTTTTTTTAAATTTGTGACCTTTAAAATTTTTAATGCTGTTAGGCAGCCTATTATATAAATGGACTCCCCTGTAGGAAATCGAGTTCATTCCCATTTGGGAATTTACTTGAGGTAGATTCACCTCTGCATTGGCTCTTGTCGAGTGATCGTGAACATTATTTCTATAAGTGAACTTAAGACATGAGTGTCTTTTAGAATTAAGGACTTGATTTATAAACATACTTGTTTGATATTCATTAATACTTTTTATAGATCTAATTCTAAACAAGTTATAGAGGTCAGCTGTTGGATATCTTTTATCTAAAGAATATAAATTTTTTATGGCTTTATTTTGGAGTAATTTAAGTGGCTTAAGAGTACAGTTAGATGCATTTGACCAAATAAGATTCAAGTATTGTAGGTGTGAGTGTATCAAGGAGAAGTAAATCGACCTCAAGTATTTGCGGGGGACAGTATACATTCTCCTAAGCACACCAATCGGACCGGCCACCTTTCCACACACATGACTGACATGATCTTTCCAGGAAAGCCTGTCATCGATTTTTAGGCCCAGGAACTTTGTATCCGTAACCCGCTTCAGCTCGAAAGCATCATTAACACATCGTTCTCTCTGGTTTTTATGAATATACATATAAGATGACTTCTCCATGTTCAGGGACAATTTATGGGAATTAACCCATTTTTTTAAAATTATCAAATCAGAAGCCATGGACTCGTTCACTTGCTCGATGGTGCGGCCATAGTATACTATGGTCGCATCATCAGCATACAACCTTAAATTTCCATTAAGTTTTAAGTTTGACATGGAATTTACGTAAACCAAAAAAAGTGTCGGCCCCAAAATTGAACCCTGGGGCACACCACATTTAATAGATTGTCTAGAGCTTTCTACTGAGTCCACAACAACATACTGCATTCTATCCGAAAGATAGTTTTCAAACCACCGCAAGCAAGAGTCCGTTACACCAATTAGCTCCAACTTCCGAAGCAAAATACCAAAATTTACAGTGTCAAATGCCTTTCGCTGGTCAAGCGACACGAGCGCGCATTTTAGGCCTTTATCCAGATTTAATTGTATTTCATTGATCATGTCAACTGCGGCCGAGCTCGTGTCACTTGACCCGCGAAAGCCATATTGACACGGAGACAAAAAGTTCAACGCTTCCAAGTGACCCGCAAGCCTACCATTAACCACTCGTTCCAGAATCTTAGCAAAGACTGATATTACACTTATTGGTCTATAGTTGTTTGCCTGATCCTTATCGCCTGACTTAAAAAGTGGAGTTACTCGTGAGATTTTCATTCCTTTTGGAACTGCGCCGGTCTTGAGTGACTTATTAATTATTTTACAAAGAATATGCTTTATTGCTTCACCACACTCTTTGACAGTTTTTATATCAATTTTATCATGACCTGCAGCTTTTGATGAGTCCAGTTTCACAATGATTTTTCCAATTTCTTCAGGGGTAACCTCATTAAATACCATTTTTATTGTGCTCTTGCTTTCTTGGTTTATAAGTAGAGGTTCGTCCGGTATAGAACATGCCAGCTCTTCACTAATTTTTATAAAAAAGTTATTTATGTGATCTCCAATTTTCTTTTTGTCAGTTATAACTTTGTTACCATTTTTTACCCTTGAAATTGCTTCTTTACTTTTCTTGCAATTCCGGACAATTGAACTGATTAATTTCCATGTGTTTCTAACATTATTTTGGCTTTTTGTGAATTTTTCTTCATAAAATGCACGCTTTGCTTTTTGAACTTTGTCTCTTACTTTTTTTTTAGCATCTGTATGCATTTTTTTTAGGAAATTGTTATTGGGAAATTTTTTTTGCCTTTCAAAAAAATAGTCTCTTAGTTTGATTGCATTTAGAACTTCCATGTTAAACCATACTTTAGATTTTGGTCCAAACCTATTCTTTAACTTTTTATAGGTTGTATTTTTGTCAAAACAAGAGATTAATCTGCCGTAACTTTCGTCAATATTCTCTGTGTGATTGTAATTGGCATTTAATTCCAGCAATTCCTTTTTTAGTTCTTCTATATTGATAACTTTTTTTATGTAAACATTTTCACTTTTTTTTGCTTTGTTATTTATTGGTGATAACTGTAAAAATTGTAGATCATGGTCACTAATGCTGTTACCAATTATTGATAGATTAGTATCCTCAGTGGCAATGTTGCTTGTGAGTACATGATCAATAAGTGTTTTACTATGTTGTGATTGGGGATTACCTCTATTTACTTTGCGTACAGCTATCCTAGTGGGAATTGTTGTGTTCAAAATGCAAATATTATTTGAAATACAAGTATTTTTATACTCTTCTGCAAGCGTGGATGTTTTTAAAATGTTAATATTTAAGTCGCCCATTATTATACCTTTTTTGTTAGTAATATCAGCCAGTTCATTGTCCAGGAACTGCAAGGCAGCCTGCTTATTGTTATTGGGTGGTATATAGATTGCTCCAATATGGAGGTCACTTCCATGTAGCCTTATCATGGCAAGTGATGAGTCCATGTATTCAACAGTTTTCAAAACAGTAAACTCCAGGTCATTCCTAACAAAAATTGCTGCCCCTCCTCCCTTTTTTTTCCTACTTGAAAATACTGCTTTGAAATTTTCCAAATTATAGCAGTACTTCTCTGTTTCTGCAACCCATGTTTCAGCCATAATTATAATATCCACATTGTTGCCCATTTGATGGAGAATCAACTCAATACACTCCAATTTATTTTTCATTGACCTTGCATTTAAGTACAAAATATTTAATGAAGGTTTTAAGGCAGTTTTATTCTCTAAGAAATTGTCAATATTATTATAGAAATTTACTTGAGCCATTGCGTAAACTAAATTTATTTGTTGATTTATATTAATATTTGGCTATTATTTTATTCTAATTCTTTTGCATCTACAGAAGTTGTCGGGGGTACTTCTGAAACTGTTGTCCGAATTTCATGGAGTAGCCGGTCAACTTCCTCCACACTCTTTATTCTTATAATTTTGGATTTTTCATCTTTTCTTACAAATATCTTTCCCTCCTTTTGCCACACATACTTGTAATTGTCATTTCCTTTTAATTCTCTTGTTTTGTTAAATAGTAGTCTGATATCTCTGTGCATATCCTCGTTGATGTATATTTTATGATTATCTCCAGCAATACCACATTCCTTTGTTTCCAATTTCCCTTTTTGTTTACGTGCTTGTAAAAGTTGATCACGTTGCTCTTTATTTGAGAAGGTGACCAAAACTGGCTTACTAGGATTTTTGCTGGGTATAAGTTTCACCAAAAAATCATCTACCTTTAGTTTAAGTGTGTTCACAATCATTTTAACATTTGTTTTTGATTCCTCTACTGTTTTGGCATGAAGTCCAATAAACATGGCATTTTTATCCTTCTCCTCATCAATTCTGACAGATTTTTGTTTCATAAGATGCATCTGGTTTTGTATTTCTGCAAGTTGTTTCTTGATCGACTCGTTTTCTTTCTTGAGTGTTTTGTTTTCTTTACTAATATCTGAGAGTTTATTGTTTACCTTGTCAAGTGTTTCTCCATAGAAGGAAAAGGTACTTTCAAGTTCATTAAACTTTTTATCAAGTTTTTTATCCATTTCAGATATTCTTTGCATAATGTTATCCCAAGTTTTTTCTTTATTTATTGCCACTTTATGCGATTTTCTTTTTTTCTTTTTTCTTTTTAATACCTCATTTTCATTTGTTTCTAATTCTGAAAGTTCATCCTCAGAGTCCTCTTCAGAATCAGAATCATCGTCTTGCTCATTTTCCACACATTTTGCACATGTCCAATTTCTTGTAGTATCTGTGCACTGCTGATGCGCCCATTTGCCACATTGCTGGCATTGCAGCTTAATTTTTGATTTGCCCAGCGGTTTATTGCATATAAGACACTCAAGCGGTTTCTTTTTTGTTGTTTTTTCTTTTGCCATTTTCCCTATAGTTTTAACTAAGGTACATCCAAGTTACTTTGATAGTAGTATTTTAGTTGCTTAGGTGTTTTTTAATGCTTATTTTACTTTTAAAATAGATAATTTTACACAGTAGAAACTTTTGAGGTTACTCTTCTTCTTCTTCTGATGGAGTGAATTTAGCCAAAAATGATAAAAGACTTTTTTTTTAGAGCATTTAATTTCCCATAAGAATTTTTATCGGTTTTTTTTTTCGGGTACTGATTTTTACATGAATTACAAAATTCCAAAGGTAAAAGATATACCAATTTTTAAGGCATGATTGTAAGAAAACGGTTCATCTGACGGGAAATTCTAATTAAACCTTTTTTGTAGAACATTCAATTTTCTTCAAAAAATATTCCATTTTGTTAAACTCAATGGTTTGGGAGTTCTGATACAAAAACTCGCTCAGGAGAAAAAAAATCTAAAATTGCGATGATAGACCTCTTAATATTAATATTATGAACTCAAACTTTCACCATAATTTTTTTTTGGCCCAGTCTAATATACATATATAAATAATTTAGATTTAGATCAATTCCTATAAATATAACAAAACAATAACAAAAGGTAACAACTAGAACCCTTTAAATATAGTTTTAATTGAGTTAACAAACAATTAACTAAATAAACCACATATTAATTATATTAGCGTTCTGAGTTGTTTTCGTTTCGCAGTTTCAGAGCAAAAACAACAAGAAACGCAACAAGAGGAGGCGCGCGAACCCGCTCTCGTGCAACGACAACAACGAATGGGCGGCTTTGACCACGAAATCGTTGTGGAATCAGTTGAAAGCGGAGCTCAAGGCTTACTTCGACTACGATTTGCAGTCGAACGACGTCGATTCCACCATCGAAACGTACAATTTGCAGAAAGTTTCCCTGTTGAGGTCGTTCTGCATCAAAACTGGCATACAGATTTTGCTGAGGGATTACAATTTCGACTCGAAAAACAAGTTGATTTTCTACGAGGAGGATGTTTTGAATATCTTCCCAGTTGTTAAACATATCAACCCCAGGTAAGATTTACTACATTAGCGTTTTTAAATAACGTTTTGTTTTAATTTTAGATAGTTTTAAAACACAATTATAAGTAATTTAGGAGTTTAAAAACAAATTTATCGTTTCACAACATTTCTACAAATTATAGGACACTAAGATATTTCACAATCATTAAAATATTAGTTTTAAGACAGTTTTGGGACATTTAACTGTTTTTAATACTTACAGTTTTAAAACAATTTAAATAGTTTAATACAGTTTAAACTGGTTTTAATAGTTTTAGAACAAAAAAAATATAATCCCCTTAAATGCATATCCCTGTACCACACAAAATATGCATTTAATTGAATTTAATTTATTTTTGTCTACAACTAAGCTAAATACGAAAAAATTCAACAAAAAAATGTAAAAATTTCAGTCAGTGGCGTACATTTTTTTGTCAAAAAGATTTATCAAAGTTTAACACCCTGTATCTTGAAAACGAAGCATTTGCGGACCCATGTTTATACGAACTGTATAGTTTTAGGACATCTTAAGGTTCTAAAACGGTTTTATGACATTCTAAGACAATGTTACATGTTTAGAGATGTAACGTGAAAAAAACATCCTTGTTTTGGTTCTTTATTTTTTCTTTACTTATCTTTTCTAACGCGTTAGCAGAGTTGCTGTTTTTTACGGATAAATCAGTTTGTTATATCATTTAATTTAGGCTCTGATTAAAAAAAAATTCACAAGGTTAAAAGTATTGGATTACCTTACCTTTTTACTGGCCTATTAGAGAAAATGTAATATTTTATATTTTTTTCTACTCCCACCTTTAAAACGCCCTTTATCGTACATATTTCCATGACACTAAGTGACCTTTTAAATACACATTGACAAGTTGTGGCTTTACGGCGCTTTAGTCACGGGCTGAAGTTAGCAACAGGTTTTTAGTCTCGGGTTGAAGTTAAGTTTTAAGCTAGTTGACAGTTGTCAAATGTCATACAATCGTTAAAATAAAGTGCCTTGTAAAATAATACTAAAAGTGAAAATTATTTTATTATCTCAATATAAAAGTATTAAATAGTTTCTCAACGCCAATATTTGAAAAGTTTATATGAACAGCAGTAAACTATAAGTTAAATTCGGGCACGGACTCCACTGTAAAGTGCTCATAAAACATTTTCTTTACTTTCACTGTGAAAAACTGTAAATTTTCAAGATACATTTCAATTTATAACCTTTATAATTGTGTTTATAAAATGTAAAAATGTGACATTTGACAGTTTCCCCTGTTGTTTCATAGATGGTGCTCTATACAAATTTTTGATTTAAATCATTTTAAGATAATAATAAGTATTTGTAGTAGAAAAAGTATAGTATGTACCTCGTTTATAAACTTTTCTATACACTCATTAAATTCGTGTATAAAATGGCGTTTATCAAACTTGATACATAATATACTATTCTTATAGATTTTTTAAATTTCTTTACGTTTTACACATTAAGTTAAGTTTTATTATACAAAGTTTCCCTAAAATGCCTGTACAAAATTATAGTCCAAAATAATGTGATATAACTAAATTTAACTTTATACAAAAGTTAATAATTACCAAGATATTTAATAGTATTTAAGACGAAATAAAGTGTAATTTCTTTAAAAAAAATTCATGTAGGTTATAGGGGGTGATGTCTGCGACACTTAGCATATCTTTTTTGCGCCTTGATGTATTCAATGTATACAAATATTACTTTTTTCATCGTTATTTCGCATAAAAAGTACAACTTGTAAAGGTTGCTCCAAGTTACCGTTTTCGAGATATGTGCGTTTAGATTGTGATTTTTTTTAAATATTAAAAAAAAAATATTTAAAAAAATGACGAAGTTGGACTGTAACTAAATTTGTAGCGTCTCTTAATGTATTTTTTAATCGTAATCTATTAAAAAATAGTATATTAAAGAACTAATGTCATAAGACGTCATTTTGTCGCACGCGGACAATTTATAGTGGACAAGTGCGACAAAAGGTCTTATGACATGAGTTCTTTATGCTATTTTATTTATTTTGCAAACATTTCATAAAACAAATTAATTTTATACCTTAAATTTAATTTGGTCGAATTTTACTTTACATAGTTGGTATCTCAGTTTGAAGTTTGAAAGGTCATTAACCTTTCAAACATTATCACATTCTTTCGCTATGGCGTCGATAATTTACAATAAGTATTTACAATAAGCGGCTGTTAAAGAAGAAAAAAGGATTTTCTTTGGTATTAAACAAAATTTATTGCACGAAAAGTCTCGTAAGTACTAGAAAACAAATCATAAAAATATTATAACCTATAGGTATTCAATATTTTATTTTACTAGTAGCCAACCTATAAAATCAAAATTTTGGGTGGAATAAAGTACCTCATTAAAGAACCAAAAGCGGTGTTATAATGAACGCGAAATAGATAAATGTTATATTTTTAAATCACAATTAAATAAACAATTTAAATGCAAATATCTTGCAAACTCGCAGCGAGATTTAAAATGTTTTTAGTAATAAAGATAAAATAGTGATATTTTTATTAAAAACGTGAATCAATCAATCAAATTTGTGCCAAAACGCTTGTTTTTTCCAAAGTTATCTAATAAAATCGAAAACGCATTTCGCAGGGCAACGGACGCATACAACTTCTACACGACCGGCCAAAGCAAAATCCAGCAGGGCTTCCTGAAAGACGGCTACGAGCTGATCAGCGAGGCCTTGAACCTGCTCAACAACGTGTACGGCGCCATGCACCCCGAGATCGCTCAGTGTCTGCGCATGATCGCGCGCCTCAACTACATCATGGGCGAGCACGCCGAGGCCATGGCCTACCAGCAGAAGGCCGTGCTGATGTCGGAGCGCGTCAACGGCATCGACCATCCCTACACGATCACGGAATACGTGAGTGGACAGAGCGCCGAGCGTTTGAAGCGTTTCGACGTCTTTTCTTTTTCTTTTTTGCATTTCAGGGACACCTCGCCTTGTACTGCTTCGCCAACAGCCAGGTCAGCACTGCCTTGAAATTGCTCTACCGGGCCAGGTATTTGGCCGTCATAGTGTGCGGCGAAAGCCATCCAGAGGTCGCTCTATTAGACGTAAGTTTACGCAGTTTTTAATTTATTTTATTAAAAGTTTCAGCGTATATTTTCGTAAGTGCATCTAATTTTTCCGAAAAAAAGAAGCATGAGTGCTGGTGGAAACAAAAATTTGAGTCGAAGACTGTGTTTCGTTAAAAAATAAAAAATTAAGACCATTTCCGGTGAAACCGGAATTGACAATAATAAATAAATAAATAACGTATTTATTAATCCTTATGTAAATACATACTATGTAAGGTTACAACATAAGATTAAATGGCCAATGACCGAGGTCCTTCAGCCAAATGCGCTTAATTTTAAATTGATATTATATAATAATAATGACAATGGTAATGTTTTTTAATTTTAGTATAGAATGAAAAAAAAGAAAAAAAAATTGACAAAAATATGTTAAATATGTCAAAAAGTTCTAAATTACACTTTATAAAGGTCACCCCAGTTTCATGACCCTAGATAAAATACCAAATTTTTGCGATGAACCACAAATTTACTAGAAAATGGCATTTTCATTAAAAAAATAATAATTTCGCAACGACGAATTTAGCCAACTCGGGACTTATAGTAAAAAGTTTTTCAACTTCAAACAAAAAAATATGAAAAAAAAAATGAGTCAATGTAAAAATTTTGACCTCAATTTTATTTTGCCTTTTTTTTGGAAAAAACAAAAATCGATGTTTTTTCTCTATTTTTCAAAAATTTGTAATTGAAATACGAGTAAAAGTACTCAAGTAATTGGCCAGCTCTGGTGTTAACATACAGGGTGTTATGTAATTAATGTTATATATTAAAATACTGAATACATTTTGACATAAGGAGTAAGGGAAAAATATTTAAAAAAAAAATGTTTTAAGGATAAAGAAAAATTATGCATTACAAGTTTTTTATATTTTTTGTGATACGCCCTGGGTTACACACTTGGTTTATCTCTGCACACTTGTGTTCTGTGAGTACATGGATACCAACCAACAAAGAAGCTATGCGTTGCCAGATGTAAAAAATTGTTACTAAAAATTTTTCTTGCAAAAAATAAATAAAAACTCAATAAATACAGAAGTTTTATGCCCTTAAAGCTCTAATACCCTTCTGTAGTTATTTACTGATCCAGCTATTAGCTTAAGCAATGATTAGAAAATTTAGTACCTTTCAAATTTGAAATCCATAACCACAAAATTAATTTTTTCATCAGTTTTTTTCTGTTTACTCAGATGAAATTGGGACCAGTTCACAGGTTAAATTTTAAACATTTAATTTGTGTAAATAAATCGAAAAGCACTTAGTTAAGATATTTATAATTTGAGCACATGACCTAAAATTTGGAAAAAATGTACTAGATTCTGTCATAAAACTTGGCAGATTTTGTTTGTATTTACCTTCAGTACAAAAATGACATAACCAACAATTAATAAAAACGCCAAATTGACTTTTTGCATTGTTGATTTTGTCATTTTTGTAATTAAGCTAAACTTAAACAATGCTTGGCAACTTTTTTGATAGAATTTGGAAACGCTGTTGTTACCAACCATAACATAATAAATTAAATTAGGCAACCAGATTAGCCTAAAGTGTCTGGTCGATCAGTGGCGTACTTTTTGGTAGGATAAAGGGTATTATAAATTATTTTAGGTCTTTGGAATTTAGAAAAAAAAAGTTTCAGGTGCTTCTTTATGGACCCATAACCTATCTAACACTTGCAATTATTTGCAGAGTAACATTAGCTTAATTCTTCACGCGGTCGGCGAGTACGAGCTGTCGCTCAAGTTCCTGGAGAAGGCGCTGGCGCTGAACATCAAGTACTACGGAGCTAAATCGCTCAAGGTCGCCGTCAGCTACCACCTGGTGGCGCGAACGCAGAGCTGCATGGGCAACTTCCGCTCGGCGCTGAACAACGAGAAGGAGGCGTACGCCATCTACAAGCAGCAGCTGGGCGACAACCACGAGAAGACGAGGGAGTCGTCGGAGTGCCTGAAGCACCTCACGCAGCAGGCGGTCGTGCTGCAGAAGAAGATGAACGAGATCTACACGGGCAAGAACGGCGCCTCGCTGCCGCCGATACAGATACAGCCGCCTTCGATGGGTTCCGTCTTGGACATGCTCAACGTCATCAACGGCATCCTGTTCGTTCAAATTAGGTGAGTTTTTTCGGTTTTTTTTTTGATCGGTGGGATTTCGGATTTCGGATTATCAAAGAACATAGAGCATGCTGTTTAAGAAAAATTAAGTTAAATATTAATACTTCAAAAAACTGCAACTTAAAAAATTAGAATAAAATAGAATAGTTTAAAAATCTTGATAAAAAAAATTGTTTTTAATCTCACAATAATTCCAATATAAATTTCAAAGTAAAAAATAAAGTACCTTATACAAAATAAAATGTACCAAATTTAAATGACGAAAATATTAATTCAACTAACAAAATAATATCTATGTAAAATGCTTATTCTTTGAGTAAAATATTTAAATGTTACAAAAAAAATGTGTATCAAATTAAAATGTATCATAAAAAATAAATTATTATTATGCCTAGACATAATTTTAAATAACTATTATTATGACTATAAATAATAATAATTCGCTATTTTTCCTATATGTTTTTATTAAATTTGAATTTATATACTTACAGGGAGAGTCATTTAACTTAAAATTTTGAAATATCTCAGTTAGTATGCATTTAACGAAAAAAAATTAAAATAAAAATTAAATGATTCGAGGGGGGAAATCAATCAGTACTAAAATTGGTCCTTATACTCTCCTCCTTATAGGGGTAACTTTAAAATTTCCAATGGAACACCCTATTTTTTATTACAGATTCGGATCATTCGACTAAAAATTGGTAGATTTTGTCTAAAACATTTTTTCATATATGTACTAAAAAAAAATCAATTTTGTTCGATTTTTCGTCCGTATGCGATTCTGCAATAATTTTTGAATAAAAGACTTGTTTTTATTTTTTAAATTTATTTATTTATTTTAATTAAAGTAGGTGCTCAAAATAACAATATTAAATATTTGCTCGACGAACTCTTTTTTTCGGTTGAACACTCCCGTTTGTAGCAAACTGCTTGACTGTACGGTGAAATGAAGTACGAGATCGAATTTTATCCGGAAAACGCTGAGCGAGAGATATAAACAGCATCATAAATCCATAAATCAAAATCATTTCTATTTTTTCTTCCACTGTTAAAAAATCCATTATGAATAACTGCTTAACAAAAGGAGGTATTTTTGTTTGCAAATTAATCTTCGAACAAAATTGATTAAATAATGCTAAACTTTGTATAAATAGTTTCTTTACACCTCAATAATAATTATTATTTATAACTAAATACCATTTTTTATACCTCAATTAGGATTAAATTAATTAATTGACAAAATAATGTTTTTTTTACCTTCAATGAGGTATTTTTATTAAAAATAGTACAATAATCCCTTAAATTAAAGGATTTAATGCTGACAGGTGACCATGGTGCGCAATTGATAATTATCACCGAATGAAATAATGTATAAAACTTAAACCAAAGGAAACTTAAATATTAGTTAAAAAATCGTGGGTACTTAAAAAAATCAGATTTAATTTAATAAGATATTACCAAAAAAAGTGATATTTTTATAGAAACATTATTGCAGAATTGTATAAGAAGAAAAATCGAAAAAAAATTGATTATTTTTCATTACAGCGCCATCTATTACAAATATGAAATGTTTTAGGCAAAATTTACCTATTTTTAGTCGAATGATCCGAATCTGCAATAAAAAATAGTGTGTTCCATTGGAAATTTTGAAGTCACCCTGTATTCCATAATTTTAAAAAGCCTACTTCAATTATCTTTTACATTTAAAATATTTACGATTAAAAAGTGAAATGGCGTGCCATATCTGGACATGGTGCGTTTTTTTATTTGATATTGCAAATAGTTTTAATATTTATATATTAATTATAATATGGATGCTAGATTAAATATATTTTATTATTAAAGAAAATACCTACAATAGTTTTAACCAAAAGTATTTATTACAAAATGTTGTTAATAATATACCTAGATGCCTAGATGCTTTGAAAAATATTAATTAATATTATTATAAACCTATGTGTTCATTATTAAAAAAAAATACAATAACCCAAAAATATTTATTACAATAATTAAAATTATAGTACCTAAGAAAAATTTACAAAAATTACTCCAATCTTAAAAGTTTGAAGATTTTTGGTATTTTTAATATTTATACACGGTCAATATATAAAATTACGTAAAAAAGGTCAATGAATTAAAAATATTAACCAAAAATATATAATAACATTTTTAATGAATGTATTATTATTAAAAAAATACAAAAATTTCAAGCAATTGCCCATCTTAAGATGTAAAACGGTGTTAGCAAACATTAAGATCTTTTTATTAAGCGGTAAAAAGTAAAGGTTTAAAAAAAATGTTTTTTTTTCGGATTTTAGTCAAGAGGATATAGAAAATTTTAAGGCTGAAATCGAAAAGAGACAACTGATCGATGACGCGGAAGTGCAAGAACAGAAATCGGCCGAGACGACCCCGGAAGCGATCGAGGCCCATTAGCGAGGATCGGTTTTTTGATTTTTACCTTAATCATAAACAATTAGCTCATTAGAATATATTGTAGTAAATGAAACCTTTTGTTATTTCTTTTACCAAACTGGCAGCGTGCGTCTCGATGAAGTGCTAGTCAATATTAAAATAAAATAAAGCATAATCTCCATTAATTTGTTTTGTACATACAAAGTTTATTGAAAGAGTCGAATGGGACTTTTTTGGACTGACTGATTTTTATTCAAACTACACTTTTACTTTACTAATTTTTAATATCAGGCGTGTTTAATTCTATTGACAGCTAGGTAGTCTTTCTTTTTTTCTGTTATTGTTATTATTTTTGCAGGGTACCTACGTACTAATATTATGTAGACAATAAGACTTTGTTGCAATATAGATTTTGGCGCGCGTTGCCGGATATGATTACGTTTCTTTTATATGTTGTTGCACTTTTTTAGCAAAGTGCGGTTTTCTATAACACTAGTTAAAAATTTTGTAATCAAAACTTTGTTATTAATAAATAATGTTGATTACATACTCATTTGTTTCAATTTGTACCCCAAGAATTTATTGAAGTGGCTGTGCATGAGCAAGAAATAAATCAATCCAATATGGTCGCCAATTTGTTCACATTAAATGACAAGTAGAAAACCATAAGGTGAGTAAAAATGTTTTGTAAATTTTGAACCTATTGGAAATTTAAAAATTTTGTAAATTAAGTTTTGACATACTTTTCAAATGAAAGGGTTTTTCCTAAAAATTTTTCGTCAAATTTATCAGGGTGAATCTCACGAAATGTCCCCCGATGGTGTAACCCCGTGAAATTTTATAAAACTAAATGAGTTTGACCTACACTTTTATTGTGTTTTGATCTTTCATAATTAAGTAGATATTACAGCTCAGGTTCCAGATTTTTAACCGCAATTAATTATTTTTTACAATGTTTTCAACGTCTAAAACCTATCCTCCGTGACTGTTACTCTTTCTAGGTTAACCCATGTTTTCAAATATCTGAGGTAGTAAAAGCATACTAAAAATATCAGTTCACTAAGTAAATTAAACACATCCAAAGCAATCGAATCAAATATAAAATATTATTAAAAATTAAAAGAAATAATTTATGAAGGTGTTACAAAAATTGATTCTATCCTCCGTGAATCTGTTTTTGCTTTAAATTTTATGCAACGGATGGCGCTTTAATCATTTTAAATAAGCAAAAACCTCTGTTTACCACATTATAGATGAATGTGATTCCTGAAGGTCAGTTAGAATTTATATGCAAGTGAGAGTGTTGCTGTTTTATAATTCTAAAGTTCTTTAATTTGCTATTTAAAAACCTATCCACAGTGAAGTGTAATATCTCAGTAAGTAGATTTTTTTATAAATATTGTATTTTTAAAAAATATTAAGGTGTTGAAAGATACAATAACTTATTTGAAATATACAAAGGGATGTTTAAAAAAAAAAACATTCGAAATCATAACTTTCGTGAAGCTATCTTCCGTGAAGCTCTAATATTAAAAATGTATGATTTCTTAAAATTCTTGCATTAGTGCAGAACCACTTATGTTATGTTATTACTAGACCTGGTGGCTTCCCAAAAACCCCATTATAGACTAACAGTGAAACAACCAAAAATAAAAAATAATCATTTTCACTTCTCAATAGATATATTCAAACTTTAATAAATTTTTATTAAATTTTTTCGCTTCAAGTTTTTTGAGTAGGTTGCTAATAAAATCTAAAAACAGCAGTGGGCCCAGGAGTGCACCTTGAGGAACTCCACTTTGCATTTAGCACTTTTTGATATGCCAATTCTGGCAATAAATGAGCAGTTTTGTACCAAAAATAATACAAACTTTTTAGTTTCAATAATTTCAAAATGTACAAAATAACATTTTTAATTTTGTTATATAAATAAACAAAGGCAAAGTAAGAAAAATTGTAATTGCTATTTTAAACTTTCGTGTAAAAAACGGCAAAATTTAATTAGTTTTTTCTCCAAACTAATTAAACGCTGCAATGGCTCGAAGCACAAGAAATGCTGCGAATGATTAAATTAAATTTGTAGACAAACATCGGGCGATTGCAAATCGAAATGGGGTGTGAAATCACAGTCCCTCACGTGCCTTTAACGCCTCAGAATCATTTACGCCACTACAGCGGGCGTGTTAACACACAAACATAAGATAACTCAATAGGCTACCAGCATTAGCAGGAGAATTCGGAATCAATTGTATTTTAGTTGGATGCCGGCGGCAACCAAATAAATTATTCTGTTGCTTACAAATTTATTAAATTGACCCTTGAATGGTGTCTTCTCGGCAACGCAAACGACGAACGTTGCATGTATCATAGATTTTAATTGATAGCACCAGTTCGGTACTTGGCGCGGAAAGATAAATTTGTGTTCAATTTTATTGCTGTGTTCTCGAGGTGGTTAAGTGGTGTTTTCAAGGAATAATGGCTCTAAGTTATGTCTGTATTTTAGTGTTAATTGGTGAGTATTATTAAAATATTTTAAATTAAAAAAAACGTGTAGTTTAAAAAAATATATTATAATTAAAAGAAATTGGTTTTAGTATATATACTTAGTTAAATGTAACAAACAATTTTATATTGGAATATTCTTCTAGTGTATGAATTTCTTGGTAAATTTATTCTTAAAGTTAAGTTGCAATTTACATCAATTAACTTCATTAAAGTGTTTGTTCTGCATTAGAGTTCATTATACGGGTTTATTTGTTATACTACTTACTACTTAAATTATGTAATAAAATAATAATAAAAAACTTAAGAAAGCATGCATTGATGCATTAAATATATTTTTAATAAATAAAAAAATGATAGTATGTATATTAAATTAATTAATATTATTAATTACCACCAAATTCCAACAAAAAAATTTTAAGGTGCGATTCTACAGCGTGAAATATGAAAAAGTTGTAAAAAACAGGTGGTCAAAAATGCTTTATAAGGGTCGTACCTTTTGAAGATGGCACTCTGCTTTATATACAATAATTTTTAAAGTGATTTTTTTTTAAACGTTAAGTTATAATATTTTAAATAATAGGTACTTATAGGCAAAATTAAAATAATACAGGATGTAGCTGATCTAGTTACCAAAAAAAGAATAAATTAATTGGAAAAATGACCTTTATAGTTCAATTGTTTTGGGAAAAACTAGCAAAGTGTGAAAAATAAAAACAATATACATAATTAAGCCCAAAATTTGAAGGACAAATTCTATTATAACATCAATCATTTTCTATTTTAAAATTTCCTGTTATTTTTTATTTATAAACATTTTTAATTTTAACTAGTATAAACTTTTATTATTTAATTAATTTTTTCTACTTCTATTACGGAAGTAAAGTGTTACAGAATGAAATATTTTATCATCGGATGACAGAATAAACACTCTGTTTTTAATATCTAACAAATTTTAGACCGATCCTACCTCACTTTCTTCCAATTAAATTATTTTTCTATGGTGTTTTTTGGAAACGTAGAAAAAATATAGTCTAAAACAAGTTTGGAATTGCATATTACGTTAACAAATTTGGAATTGCATGTTCCGCTTTGTTATAATTAATATATTAATATATTAATATATTAATATATTAATTTTAGATAGTATAAACATAGGTGCACCTATCCCCAGTAGCACAAAATATTGGTCCTATATGGGGCGCATATATGCCCAATATTTTATCTGGGACCAATATTGGATTTATTTAGCCGATGTTGGCCCTATATTGGCATAAAATGGTTATTTAATATATCTTGCCAATGTTTATCCAATGTTGGTCCTATATTGGCATATCATTTTACGCCAATATATCATAAAACATATTTATGCAAGATCGGTCCAATATTGGCATATCATTTTAAGCCAATATATCATTAAACATATTTATCCAAGGTTGGTCCTATATTGGCATATCATTTTACGCCAATATATCATTAAAAATATTTATCCAAGGTTGGTCCTATATTGGCATATCATTTTACGCCAATATATCATTAAACATATTTATCCAAGATCGGTCCAATATTGGCATATAATTTTAAGCCAATATATCATTAAACATATTTATCCAAGATTGGTCCTATATTGGCATATCATTTTACGGCAATATATCATTAAAAATATTTATCCAAGGTTGGTCCTATATTAGCATATCATTTTACGCCAATATATCATTAAACATATTTATCCAAGATCGGTCCAATATTGGCATATCATTTTAAGCCAATATATCATTAAACATATTTATCCAAGGTTGGTCCTATATTGGCATATCATTTTAAGCCAATATATCATTAAACATATTTATTCAAGGTTGGTCCTATATTGGCATATCATTTTACGCCAATATATCATTAAAAATATTTATTCAAGGTTGGCCCTATATTGGCGTAACATGATTATCCAATATATCATAGTCGATCTGTGTGCTATGTTGGCCCCATATTGGCGTAAAATGATTATCCAATATAACATTGAAAATGGTTGTCTAAGGTTAATCTAATATTACCCCTACATTATCGTAAAATGATAATTCAAAATTTCCAACGTTTATACACTGTTGGCCTTATATTGGTGTAAAATGGTTATTCAATTTTTATTATAAATTATATTATTTTACCAATGCTTATATATAAATATAGCAACAACATGAGATTATGCAACATACCTCAAAGAGTTTTTCATAGAATTTGGAGGGTACATTTTATATCAAGTAACTCCCCTCTCCCCCTTATCATTTGGGTGAGCATTGTTACCCGGCCCCCCGCTCCTACGCCCTTAAATACTATAAACATTTCCTAAAAACAAACGTGTCCCCAGTAGCAAAATATTGTTTATTGGCCCAATATTGGCAATATTTAGCCAATATTGGTAATTTATTGGCATTACCATCTTCTCATTCATTTGATTTTCATATTAACCCAATATTGGGCCAATGTTTATGAAAAAATATTTCTTTATGTGCTTAAATTTAATTTACTTATGGAGTAAAATCTAACCAAGTTCAAACTAAATACATAGATTCTCTTTTTAACCATTAAAAGGGATTATATATAATGTCCTTTTTTCCAATATTGGACCTATATTGGGTATATATTGCGTAGGGAAAATTTTGTAGCACAGACAACACTTCTACAAAGCCAATACAACGAAGTGTCAAACACCGTATTTGTCACGTGTTTAAAAGTTTTTCTTTGTGATATATATTTATCGACTGCAAATAAATAAAATGGACGTCGCAACGAAATCGCACCTTTAGACGTCTAACTCGCAGCAGAGCAGCAATAGCAGCGGTTTGTTGACGAAACATATTGGCAAAGAAATATCAATAACTAAAATCCGTAATAATTAAAAGTGTGTGCCCAACACAGAAAATTTATATTGGTCCTATATTTACAAACTAAAATGGTAAAATATATATATCACCTATATTGGGTAAATATTGTATGTCAATATTGGATCATTATTAAATAAAAATATAGGTCCTATAATTGCCAACTAAAATGGTAAAATATATGGCACAAATATTGGGTAAATATTGCATTTAAATATTGGAACATTATTAAATAAAAATATAGGTCCTATATTTTCCAACTAAATTGGTAAAATATATATCACCTATATTGGGTAAATATTGTATGTCAATATTGGATCATTATTAAATAAAAATATAGGTCCTATAATTGCCAACTAAAATGGTTAAATATATGGCACAAATATTGGGTAAATATTGCATTTAAATATTGGATCATTATTAAATAAAAATATAGGTCCTATATTTTCCAACTAAATTGGTAAAATATATATCACCTATATTGGGTAAATATTGCATTTAAATATTGGATCATTATTAAATATAAATATGGGACCATTAAAATACAATCTGACGTTTCCATCATTGGGCCAATATGCAAAAATAATATTCTACCAATATTGGTGTGCTACTGGGGATGTTTATACTATCTAAAATTAATAACAAAGTTATTATTACAAAAGTAATACCAACTAGTTAAAGCTTTAAAACGTAATATTTTAAAAACTATGAATTAAAATTTTTGCTGTTGATATTTTTTAGACCATGGTCAAACGCTTTTTGAGATACCTACAGTGTTCAAATTAAGTTTTAAAACATTTTTTGATTCTTTTTGGTATAAGAAAACTTAATATGGACTTAGTTTTATCCACTAGAGGCCCTCTAGTAGAGGGCGCTCTGTATTGTACTTTTCATGGATTTAAATGACTATATATATCTATATATCAGTGTAATTTTTGTCTTTTTTAATAAAAAAAAACAGTTTCCTGTACTTTTTTAGTACGTATAACGAAATGAACAATACAATTGATATAGAGTGGATTTTTTATAGTAATTTTACCCAAAATTTTATGTAGAATTTAAAAATGTAAAAATATAATTTTAATATCTTTTCCGTTCCCCAGAAACAGGATATCCTTCCGTTGATGTCATTTTATCAAAATGTTCAATTAATCAGTTTAATTACTTCCCAAAGCAATATAAATTCAATGGGTCAAAGTCCAAATAAAAATACATACTGAATGCGTGTAAAAATAAATTTCGCGAGACACTTTTAATCATGTGTAAAAGCCACTCACTCCACCCTTAATATTCAATCAGTTCGAAAACCTTTAGGAAAGAAGCGAAAGGCTCGAAAATGAAAATACATTATCCAAATTAAGTATAATTTGTTTGCGCCCACCCTTTCGTACATAAAGTAAGAAATCCTTTAAAGGTGTGCCGACCGCGGTCCGAATACTTTAACGTTAACGATGTTGGGTGATTTATTGATAAGGGAAAACATATTTACAGGCCATAAAAGCCCTATCGATCTATCCTTAGAGCGATCTTGTTTTTAATATATTTATTTGCTATAGTAAATACTTTTATCTCCACGCGGTCTATAATTTAAACATTAAACTTTACTCAATGATTTAAACTTGATTGTTGTCAACATTCGATAAAGAAATACCTTGTTATTGCCCAGGCCGATAAAAATTTTTATGAGGCAAGTAATTAGTACGATTTTTTCTCGCTAGGGGTATTGTTTTGACAAATTAATCCTTTTCTAAGAAATTAACGTACCTACTAAACTGGTTTAATTTATTCATAATAAGCACTAATTTGTTTGTTTTACTGTTAATGTTTAATATTTTTCATTAAATTATTGTGAAATTAAATATGAATAATAAAACAAAAAGTGAGGTTAGGCAACCAAGAAAACGCACGATTCTTTTTCTACGATTTAAATTATCTTTAAGTTTTAATTTGCTTTAAGTTTTCAGTGAAATTAAATGTTAAACACAGCTTAAACATTCCAAACTACCTATTTTTTAAATAAAAATCTTTAGCTAATAAATAAATGAGATTCAAAAAAGTGAGGTTAGGCCGCTTTGATGTTGAATTAAATTGTGCTTCGCTCAATTGTACAAACCTTGAGCTTGGCACAAAAAGCCTTACTTCTTAACCCAATGACATAAATAACTATTTCAATTGTAGGCTTTATTGAGTTAACCAATAGCCAACAAATAACTAAATTCTCCGTCCCGCCTCAAGAAGCCCACGAGGCTCTTCTGGTCTGCCAGTACGACTTGAACGGTTCCAAACTGTACGACGTGAAATGGTACAAAGACGACCAGAACTTCTTCAGGTGCAGCGACAACGGAGTGCAGAAGTACCAAGTGGAAGGCGTCAAAGTTTCCTCGTGGGAACCGATGGCGAGCTCATGCTCTTTAACCCTTACCAGATTGACCTCTCAAAGTGCGGGGATGTACAGATGCGAGGTCACATTGGAAACGCCATCTTTCACAACGTTGTCCAAAAGGGGCGAGCTTAGGGTGACGTCTGCCTTTAAGCTTGTTCAGCCTATAGGTTGGTGTATACAATATTTACTCTTCCTTCCTTCCTTCATCATTGTATCCTTTTTTCATTCCCTTTATTTCATCTTTTTATGCTTTCAAGCTTTCATCGTTTTATTCCTTTCCTCTTTGTTTATGTTCAACTTTCTTTTCATCCTCTTTTTATTATTTTATTAAATAATTCCTTTTATTTTATCTTTTCGTGCTTTCATCATTTTATTCTTCCTTCCCTGATAGCAAAATTTGATTTTAAGAATCTTCTAAGAAGAATCTTCTTAGAAGATATGACCCGGAATAATGGAATATTCTTAGAACCTTTCCTTATTGCCAAGAATGTTCTTAGGGACTTTTAAAACATTCAATAGAAACCCTTTTAATGATGCAATTAGATTCTTAAAAGCTTCTTAAAACCTTCCTAAAAAGCATCCTAAGAACATTTTTAGAATACGTTTTTGGAATGTTTTTGGTGGAGCTTCTAGGAAGCTTTTGAGAATATTTCCAAATATGTTAGATACCCACGTTCTAATATGTTGGGTTCTACATTCATAAAATTCTTCAGGAGGCGACAAATACGCCTCACTGTCATAATATGACAGTGAAATGTATTTGTCGTCCCCTTAAAAAATTTTGCGACATATTAATATATATTTATTTAAAAATATTAAATAAACAATTTGACCTCTAAACCATAAATTGTATGACATTATTTCATAAAAAGTAAAATTGGAAAATTTTGTGGGATTATTATTAGATTGAAGTTGAAGATAGTTAGGATTAGGTATTATACATAAAAATGTTAATTCTGAAATAAAAAATCGGTATACAAATTAATAAATATTTATTTTTAACAAAATCGAATATTGTTTTAATTTGACAAATAACTATAAAAAAATATTTTGGATTGTGTTTTTACTAATTAATACTAATTACTAATTAGGTAGGTACTGTCTGTCCACTCTAAGTTGGCTGAGCTAAGGAATTTTGTTGTTTAGATATCAAAGAATTGTCGTACTGTGTGCTTTTAAAACAGATTTTATATTATAAATAATACTAGTATATAATATGTACTAGTATTATTTATAATATAAAATCTGTTTTAAAAGCACACAGTACGACAATTCTTTAATATCTAAACTACAAAATTCCTTAGTTCCGCCAACTTAGAGTGGACAGACAGTACGTAGTTTATGGTATATTTTACTATTATATAGGTAACTGAACTAAATATGCTTAACAGGAATATTCCTAAATGAATTTTCTATAGCAATTACTTTCTTAACATTCTAAGCATATGTTTAGAGTAAACTAATTTTTACCACTAAAACTGCACCTTCTAAGAATCTGCCTATAGGCCAGTAAAAATATTCTTAGGATCATGCTATATGTCTTTTAAGCATGTTCTTTAGAAGAAATATAGCATGATTCTAAGAATATTCTCACTGGAAGGTTTAAAAAACATTCTTAGAATAAAGTGTGCTATCAGGGATCCTTTTCGTTTTTCCTCTTTTCATGCTTTTATTATTTCATTCTTTTAGGCTTTTATCGTTTCATCCCTCCCTTCTTTGTTTAATTCCTTCTTTTTTAATTCTATTAATTCCCTTCATTTCATCTTTTTAAGCTTTTATCCATTTACTTTTTTTCTTATCATCGTATCATATAATTCTATCATGATTTCTTTTGGGATGACTTTTATTATTTAATCCTTCGTTTTTTCTTTTTATTTCTTTATCCATTCTCCTTGTATATTTTCTTCCTTTCATCATTTTATCATGTCAAGCTTTCATCTTTCTTCCCTCTTTGTTTATTTCCTTCTTTGTTTTCATCTCTCTTTCTCTTTTTATTATTTCATTAAATAATTCCTATCATTTCATCCTTTTATCATTTCATCCTTTTAAGCTTTCATCGTTTAATCTTTGTTCAATTTCTTCTTTCTTTTTATCTTTTTATTATTCTATCCATCCCCTTCATTTCATTCTATCATGATTTCTTTTGGGATAACTTTTATTTTGTCATCATTTCATTATAGTTATAACTATATATTGTTATTATAATAATTATTCTATTTTTTTTAGAATCAACCACAAGGCACTTTGAAAGCAGTACAACTCCAAGTTCATCTACATCAAGTTCTTCAAGTTTTAGGAGAACAAATTTAGTTTTTGTAACTGTTATATATTTAATTTTAATGTTTTTTTATAATTTATAATATTATCATGTGATTTCGGCTTTAAGGACTTAATAAAACACAAAATGAAACAGTTTTATTTAATATAAGTAATACATTAAAATAGAAACAGAAGTATTTACAATGTGGAAATATAATTTATTCTAATGAAGCTCATAAGCCTGGAATATGAAGTTTTTTCTTCCTCGGGAATTTTTTCGTAAGCCTTTTTGGCAAGCATCACAGGATCATATTCATCATTTACGTGATAACCGGAAATGTCCATTTTCATTTTAACTTTGTTCCTTTCGATGTTGTACAGCAATAAACATTGAGCTCTCCATTTGTCGAAAGACTCTTCGTTGTAAACGAACAATTTATGAAACTTATGCGAATTAATTTCGGGATTAAGTCTCGAGAATTTGGAGAAACTCATCTCGTCGTCTACGTCGACCCCTAAAATTTTGGTTTTGTTCGTTCTTCGTATCGGATGATTGTCGATTTTTACGTCGAGGCAGTTTTTCGACGGCTTGAATACCAAATATTCGGTTTCTTGATAGTCCAGAACCAGCTTTTTCATTCTCACCCATTCGTGCAGCTTTTTAAGGTCGTTGTTTATGGTTAACTCCAAATTTTTCGTAGAGCTGTTTGCGTAGACCAAGTTTATGTCGAAAGCGTACATGAAGATTGCCGCATCGAGTTTCAAGTCGTCGAGGAATACGCTGATCAGGTCATTCGTCAAAAACGGCACTTGCGGTATTGTGCTATCAACGACAGCCTCTAGGCTCTTAACACCATTGTTCAGGTGCACATATTGCCTCCATCCGTGCAGAAACGACCCGAAAATGTTCAACAAGTACAGCGGAATCGGTTTGGTCTTGAGGTTTTCGTACAATAAACTCGTCGATATTGCTTTGGCTTGCAGCACCACTCTTACATTCACCACGTGATTTAAGTTGTTCAATCTTTCGTTGTTTACGTGCATCACGTAATCAATCGTGTGGAACCCGAAGTTCAGCCATTTGTTTATTTCGTTTACTTGGCATCGGTAATATTGGTACTGTTGAAATTCGTAAATCTCATGCAGTTTCCTCTGTATGATGTAGTTGTATATGTATGTGAAAATACTGGAATTCCTCAGTTCGTTGAAGTTGTTTAACCAAAATCCATCCTTTTCATATTTCAAGATTGGCAATATTCTTGATTGTTTTAACTCGGCAGGATATTCGTTCAATTTCAAGCTTTCGTTGATCAAATAAACAACGTCTTTAAAGTAGCATGGCGTTAAGTTAAACATTTTAACATTCTCGGTGAAATATAAAGGGTAATTGCTCAATATGTCGTGGTATTTTTTAAACTCTGCTTCAGTTATAACAGGAACATTCTCATCGATGCGATTTGCATTGAAAAAATATTCAGGAGGATATACTCCGTAGCATTTTTTAAATTGCACTTCGCCATCAGTTGTGAATTTTTTGTTTAAAAGTTTTGCAATTTTTTTAGGGTTTTTAACCACCGAACCATTATCTTTTTTTACTTCTGTTACGTTGTACTCACCGTAATCCCTCCGTTTTACATCAACTTTTATTTCATTTATCAAGTCATCGAAAGTGGGCTTCGACATTTTATTTTCTAAAAAAACAATAAAAACACTAAAATTTTAAAAACTTAAAATAAATATTTAAGCACTTACCCACTAGATGATTCTTTGTTTAATATTATCAAACTAATGCTTACTTACCAAAAGCTAAATGCAGTTAAGTACTTTTGAGCTTGAAATGTTTATTTTTTTATTCGTTATTTTGTTTTGGTTATTCGATATTTAATGATTTACTGGAAATAAAAACATATATAGATAAAATAGATATACAGGGTGTAACGAAATAGCTTTTGAGTTATTAATCATTTAAGGATGTTGAAAACATTCTAGGTTGTAGTAGACCACAGATGAGTCGTATAGATTCAAAACCCGCCAAATCCATTTATTGAAAGTAAAGGACAGTAGATATGTTTGCAATACATATTAATTATGTTGTTATGGAAACATGTCTTCTGTCCTTTATTTTCAATAAATGGATTTGGCGGGTTTTGAATCTATACGACTCAGATATCTTATTGTCAGCCCATGTCTTAAGTTAATGGGACATTAAAAAATTAATACTTTTTTCACCATCAAAATTTTTAATCTGTCATTTTCGTCTAGAAGATACGGCAACACTGGATTACGAACACATGATTAGTAATATTTTTTTCTTTGCACTGCTTATAGAAATGTCACTGCAACTGTCAAAAACGAAAAGCGTTACCATAGAAACCAGCTTTCAACAACTCGCAAAGTTTTTTTACGTTTTTTAGTTCAAGTAACTGTTTTATAATATATACAGGGTGTTTCACATTCGTGGACCATTCCCAGAAACTGCCAATGGACCACGAATGTTAAACACCCTGTGTGTATATAATGCCTTTTGTATTAAAATTAAAAAATTATAAAATCAGTTGGACAACTGTCTGTTTTTTAAATCAAATGTAATAAAATGACAAAGTTGGTACCTATTGCTATTTTATTCCTTAACAGTTGTTTAAAGATGTTTTAAATAAAAATTTTAGTCAAATTATTTAAATCCATATGGTTTTAATTACAAAAAAATATATACGGCGTATTATTTTCGAAACACCCCGTATATATCATTGATTTTAATTAAATTTATAAAGATCACGTACTCCTTTAATATAAAGTTCCAATCTTCACTTAAAGATGTCGCTAAGGTTAACATAAAATCATAGGCATAAAATAAAATACTAATACCTATAAATGCATTAAAAATTATAAAATATAAGTTCGAAATAATTTTATCATTATTATATGTTATTTTGTTATATTACCAAAATTTTTTTAAATCTTATAGTCAATGATTTTTGTATTTTTTTATACAGGGTGTCCTAAAAATGGCGCGAATGCTTAATAAAAATTTTATTTTCTAATTTAATAGTTATTACACGGAGAAAAAAGTTTATTGCTCCCAAATAAAAAAAATATTTAAATATGGGACAAGGGTACAGTTTATTTATCCTAAATATATTTTTATTCCTGACATATAAAGTTTTACTAAAGTATATTTATCGTTATTATTTCGACTATTTAGAGGTAATAAACAATATATTCACTACAAATAAAAGTATTAGGTAAACAGTTTATTTGTCCCATTTTTTTCTCAGTGATATAATACCTATATATATATAGTGGCTGCTTTTTCACTTGTACCATGGTTAACCATGGAATACCATGGTATCCCATAATTTAACACCCAATTATTATGTAAAATTGTCCCCTGAATCCGAAAATACTGTCAAAAGTTAAAAAAGTAGAATAGTTTTTGAGATATAGTAAATTTTCCATTCAAAATGGAATTGACTATATCTCAAAAACTGCTCCACTTTCATAATTTTTAACGACATTTTCGGATTCAGGGGACAATTTTACATAAGAATTGGCTGTTAAAATTTGGGATACCTTGGTTAACCATGGTACAAGTGAAAAAGCAGCCACAAATGACTATTAAATTAGTCCTTTTTGACTAATATTTTTATGGGTGTACCTATTTGGGTGAATATATTGAGATGTCCCCCAAGTGAAAATAATTATTTTTTATTTTTGGTTGTTTCACTGTTAGTCTAGAATGGGGTTTTTGGGAAGCCATCAGGTCTAGTAATAACATAACATAAGTGGTTTTGCACCAATGCAAGAATTTTAAGAAATCATACATTTTCAATATTAGAGCTTCACGGAAGATAGCTTCACGGAGGTTAGGATTTCGTATGTTTTTTATTTAACATCCCTTTGTATATTTGAAATAAGTTATTGTATCTTTTGACACCTTAATATTTTTAAAAAATACAATTGTACATACATACATAAAATATTTATAAAAAGTGCCTTTCTTGTAAAAAAATCTACTTAGGTACTGAGATATTACACTTCACGGTGGATGGGTTTTTAAATAGCAAATTAATGAACTTAAACTTTTGAATTATAAAACAGCAACACTCTCATTTGCATATAAATTCTAACTGACCCTCAGGAATCACATGCATCTATAATGTCGTAAACAGAGGTTTTTGCTTATTTAAAATGATTAAAGCGCCATCCGTTGCATAAAATTTAAAGCAAAAACAGATTCACGGAGGATAGAATCAATTTTTGTAACACCTACATAAATGGTTATAAAAATTATTTAATTTAATTAATTTTTAATAATATTTTATATTTGATTCTATTGCTTTGGATGTGTTTAATTTACTTAGTGAACTGATATTTTTAGTATGCTTTTACTACCTCAGATATTTGAAAACATATAGGTTAACCTAGAAAGAGTAACAGTCACGGAGGATAGGTTTTAGACTTTTAAATTGTACCTACATTGTAAAAAATAATTAATTAATTTTAAGTACCAAAAGACCAAGGCACAAGAAAGTTGTATTTGTAAAAGTTAATTAAAGTTTAACACCCTGTATCTTGAAAACGAAGCATGTGTTTATAGGAAATTTTTGTCTTAAAATCACTCAGAAGAATAGTCTATTAAATTTATTGTACAATGTACATACTTACCCTTTAATACCCTGTATATATTTGATACTTTTAAAATATGTTAATTCAAAGGTTTTGGAAAACTTTTCTGACGGAATGGGTAGGTGGATTTTGTCCTTTGGCTATTTTATATTGAAATCCCGAAAGGGCACTTACAAGTGCAAAATTGAACTTAAAACCCCAAGCAACAACAATATGAATGTAAATCGCGAACTTTCTCAAACAATAATAATTTCGAGCTTTACTCATGCTTTTTCGTTTCCGAAAATAAATTGATTCTTCCGCGTGCGTAGGTATTAGGATTTATTGTTTTTGTATGACTTTTAATTTTTTTATGAGTTTTAAATTTCCCGAAGGATAATAGCTAAAATTAGATTTATAAAAAGTCTTGGATATAAAATAATATCTTTGTATTATTCTATTTCAAAGAGATATAAGGAAGAATATTGTTAAAATCTGAGTA